CCGCCCAGCTCAGGGATCCTGACCTCTGAAAACCTCCCCTGTCCTGTCCCTCCTCCACGTGTCTGGAACCCCTCGCGCCTCCCCTGGGTTCCCACCAGGCCTGGGCCTGCCCCCACGCCGCACCCCACAGCTTTCCTCCCACTTGGCTGGCACTGACCGTCCTGGGTCTGCTCCTCATACTGGACTCCGAGCTCCTGAAGAGCTAAGAGCAGGTCTCACTTGTGCCCACCCCCCTCAACACCCTGCACAAAAGGCCTGCAAATCAGGACACCACCTTCCGTCTGTCCACCGCGACCATTTACTATCTACTTAGAGTAAATACCTGCTACGTGAGCTACGTGAGCCAGACAGACATGGGCAAATGAACAGGGTGCAATCCTTGGCCCAGAAGATGTGCTGGTGGAAAAGGCAGGCACTTAAACAATAACACAGCCCGAGAGTGATACAGGACAGGACAGAAGCTGCAGGGGGACAATGCAGCTCAAAGGAGACCGAGCCTCCGCCCACCCAGGCAGCCAACACGGCAGTTAAGATGCCTCAGTTCAGAACTCAGTCGGAGGCCTGAGTTCAGATCCCAACTCTGCCTCCTTCTGGCTGTGTGACTTTGGGCAAGTCACTTAACCTCTCTGGGACTCTTATTTCCTCATCTGTAAAGTGAAATAACACTAGTACCCATCTCACAGGGTGGTTTGAGGATTAAACGAGCTAATACATGTAGAGCACTTAACCTCATGCCTGGTCTGCACTACACACTCGATACATGATGGTTATTATTACTTCCTGGAGGGTGGGAGGAGCAAGGGAAAGGACCTTAGAGTTGACACGATCCCGGGATGAACACTCAATGTCTGTGCGCTTGGGCCAGAGCCACGCAACCACACTTGGGCTGACAGGACACTCCTGGGCCCCTGGCGTGGAGCCTTAGGCAGCTCCGAGGCGCTCCAGTCCCCACAGAGGTTCTCAGCCCCGGGGGAGAGTCTAGCACATTGCTGCCACTAAGCAATGCCTCTCGTCTGAGCTGAGGCACGCTGCCGCTGCAGGACGTGTGCTGAGCCCTCGGCACCCCTTCAGGACCACAGCTGCCTGGACAGCAGCCCAGCCTACAGGCCGCTCCTCGGGTCGTCTGGCCACCAAGCCGAGCGTGGAGCTGCCGGCTGGTTCCGGCGATCATTAGCAGCAGCGAGACAGAGCAGTTCCCAGAGCCCCGGCACAGAGAAGGCTTCCTCTTTCCCAAGCAGCAGTGAAGTGAGGTTTTATTAAACATGCATGACAAGGGCTTCCCTGGTGGCGCAGTGGTTGAGAGTCCGCCTGCCGATGCAGGGGACGCGGGTTCATGCCCCGGTCTGGGAGGATCCTACATGCCGCGGAGCGGTTAGGCCCGTGAGCCATGGCCGCTGAGCCTGCGCGTCCGGAGCCTGTGCTCCGCGACGGGAGAGGCCACAGCAGTGAGAGGCCCGCGTACCTCAAAAAAAAAAAAAGATATGCATGGCGATCGTCTCGTTACTGTGCAAAGGATTGTGTGTACTGAAGGCGAGCCGCCGCATCGCGCCATGCACAAACTTTTCAATTTCCCTGGCTGCAGACAGGGGGCGGGGGGGGGGCGCGGGGGGGCGGGGGGGCGGGCCAGGCTCCCTCCCGCCCTTCTGCAGAGTCTCCTCCACCCAAGCTGTTTCCACCCAGTGCCCTCCCGACGCCTTCCAGGTATGCACAGCAGGGCAAAGGTCATATTGATCCCCTTCTTAAGGACAGCTGGTCCAGAACTAATCTTAAATCATCGCAGCCTCACGCTGGAGCCTCGTGGCCGATTGGCCCAAGGGACAGTGGGGCTGGAGTTGAGCTGCAGGGCCTGGGTGGGACTGCATGGCAGCTGGTGAGGGTCGAAATCCAGCGAGGGCCTCGCCTGGGCCCCATCCTTCCCTTCGTCCGTCTGTCTCAAGCTCCTAGGACAGCTGTCAGCAGAAGGAAGCCTTCCAGCCAGCAAAGTGAGGGGACAGCAGACCTGCAATGCGGACACACACCCCACACCCACCAACACCACCGACTCTAAAGGAGCAGCTTGATTTTCCAAACAAACCACATATACGGCAATAAGGACTTAAGTCAGGCAAACAATTACCACAATAACCGATGCTCATCCAACACTTAGTATGTGCCAGGCACTGTGTGAAACAGCCCTTTATATAAACCCTCCCATTGAGTCCTCTTGTAACTCTACACAGTACTGCTGTCATCCCATTTTACAGATGAAGTGACTGAGGCCCAGGAAGGCCCAGTGCCTTGTCCAAGGGTGCACAGCCTGGCAGGGCAAGGATCTCCCCAATCTGAAGCAGGCTGCCGGCAAGTCAGTCGCCTCCAAGGGAGTGGGGTGCCCAGCAGACCCGAGGTGGGCATGGCCGGGACAGGGACAGGGCCTCTGTCTTTGATGATGCCTCCCAATTCCTCCCCCTCTGGAAAGTTTCGTAGCCCTGGGAGGGGCCGCCTGGGGGCCCAGCTTTCACCAGCTCCTCAGGCCCTGCTGCCCACACCGCCTGCCCCAACAACCAGTAGCCACTTTGCTCCCACGGGCCTGTGGTTTCAGGGTCCTACGGCCTCTGGATCCTTCCTTAGAAGATTCTTCCTTGAAAACAACTCTTAGCTCACATCCTGCCTCCCACTTTCCTCGGCTGCCTTCTGCCTCTCCTGTCCCATTTCCCCCGCTGGCAGCATTGAGAATGTCTGCTGGCCAACAGGGAGCTCACAAAGCCTGCTCCTTCCCACCTCTTCCGCACTCCGCTTTCGGCTTCTTCATGTTTCTGGGCTCACTTTTCCCATATGGGGAACAGAGGGCAGGCTGTGTCTCCCCCATCAGACTAGAGGCCCCCAGGGAAGAGCTGTGTCTCCCCTAACAGACAGGAGGCCCCCCAAGGGCAGGGCTGAATCTCCCCCATCAGAATGGAGGTCCCCAAAAGTAGGGCTGAGTCTCCCCCATCAGACTAGAGGCCCTCTAAGGGCAGGGCTGGCTCTCCCCCATCAGACTGGAGGCACCCCAAGGACAGGTTGGATCTCCCCAATCAGACTAGAGGTCCCCAAGGGCAGAGCTGTGTCTCCCCATCAGACTGGAGGCCCCCTAAGGGCAGGGTTGGGTCTCCCCCATCAGACTGGAGATCCCCAGGGACAGGGCTGGCTCTCCCCCATCAGACTGGAGGCCCTCCAAGGGCAGGGTTGGGTCTCCCCCATCAGACTGGAGGCCCTCCAAGGGCAGGGCTGGGCCCGCTTCCCTCTCACCGCTGCCCTAAGCTGGGCCCCAGTGCTCGGCTGCTGGCTGAGTCAGAGCCTGTGCAGGCTGCCAGCCGAGAAAGCTGGGAGGTCACTGGGCCTGGCGTGGTGACAATGCAGGGATGCTTGGGCAGGGGCTGCAGAGGGGCCTCATCCTTTTTCCTGACAAATGTCTTGAGACCCAGGTCAGTTGGGGACCTCAAAAGCCCTGGGGAGCCAGTCCCCACTACTCACCCTCCTCTCAGAAGGCCAAGAAGGTGACAGGCCCTTGAGGGAAGTGACAGGGCAGGGTCCGGGGCAGCAGGGAAGCCCCCAAACAAGAACCAGGGGCTGGGAAGGGAGTCTGTGGCCACAGCTGCTCAGGGCTCCCCGCCCCTACTCCAGCTCTGCCTGGGAGAAAGAGGACCAAGAAATCCAGAAACTGGAGTGGGGGAGGCAGCAGTGTCCTTCCTGCTGGCGTCTCCCCGGCCCCTCCCAGAGCCCACCCCCTCTGTCCAGGCCCAGCCCCGCCAGTGAGGTCAAAGGTCCTGGTCCTGTTCAAACAGCCCCTCAAGGGTGGCAGCCCAGGCGTCACCTTTAGCCCCCAGCCCTCTTCTCCTCAAAGGTTGATTATAGTTCAAAACCCAAATCCTCTGATTCTGCCCACGGCGCTGCCTCTCACCCCACCTCCCTTTCCAGCACCCACAAGAGCCACTAATCAAATATTTCCTGGCACTGGCCAAGCATTATCTCACTCAGCGGCGAAAGGACCGCAGGGAAAGGATGCTTGTTCCCCTTTCACAGATGGGAAAACTCGTGTTCACAGACGGGGTCCCCCAAGGCCCCCGCAGGTGAGTGGGGGAACTGGAAGGCAGAGCCAGGCGTGCACAGCTCCGAACGCTGCACTCATGCTTCAGCAAAGATGGGAAAGTTAGCGCCGAGACCCTGAGGTTCAATCCCGGGTCTCAGAGCTCACCCACAGCTCCCTGGGCCTCAGTTTCTCCATCTGCCAAACCAGGACAGTGTCATCCGGGACCCGGCCCCAATCCCCTGGGATCTTACAGTCGCCTGGCTGTTGAGTAGCTGATGTATGGCTGTACGAGAGAGGATAGAGCGGGCGAGAGAAGCCGTGGAGGCACGCGGGGGCCTGTCTGTTCTGACCCCAAGCCCACACCCACAGCTCCCCTCTGGGCCTGGTGGCCGCTCATTTCAAGTTGATAATCCAAACACATCAAATAACGGCAAACTTCACCAAAATACCATTCAGGGAGCCACGCGGGCATGGGAAGAAGCCCCTGGGCCAGGCTCTCATCCCAGGGCTGAGGATCCAGCAGTGCTTGTGATGGGCCAAGGCAGGACCTAGCAGGCTCCATGTCCACACTGTTTAAAGAGCCCAGCGCCCAGGATGGCTGCGTTCACCCTGGCTATCCCCTCAGCACAGCTGGGTCCTGGGTACCAGTGGGAGCACAGGGACCCCAGCTCCACCTCCACAGGGAGCAGCAGACACAACGGAGGAGCTGTATCACTGCCCAGTGGGCTGGGGAGCCTCCCCCTCACAGCAGCCCCGAGGGTGCGTGTCGGGGCAGGGGGTGGGGCCCCACAGGGATCCTGGCCCCCTCTTGCTGCCCAGCAAACTCTGATGATCCCTGAGACGCGGCTGGGAGCCGAGAGCGGTGCCAGGTAGAATGCAAGAAGGTCTGCGAGGGTGTGCCCGGAGATGACCCCCCCAGGGCCTGGGCCCACCAGCCACAAGGCAGGGCCGGTACCTGAGTTTGCAAGCTGGTGGCATCCAGGACAGTGACCCGGGGCCCACAGCTGGCCCACACGGTGTCCTCCAGGCTCAGCAGGGTGCGGACGGGCCCAGGTCCCACAGTCAGGCACACAGGCGGGCTCTCCAGGTCCCAGGGGATGCCTCCTGGAGGGAAAGCAAGGAGGCAGGTCAGCAGCAGGGGGTGGGGGATGGCAAACGGCTCAGAGGCCCGGGGCTGCTCAGCCCTCGGGAGCCACGGGCCACAGCGGCGGCCACGCCTGGCTCCGTGAGAGCTCTTGGCCCCTTTCTCTGCCCCTCACCCTCCCCAGTGGCATGGCAGCTGTTCCCATCTGCCTCTGTTTATGTTCCACCCGCTCTGGGGGCTGTACTCCCCACTTCTCCCTCCCTCCCTTCCTCTCTCCCTTTCCCTCTCTTCTGTGCATTCATTCCACACACACCTAGTAAGCACCTACTCCATGCCAGGGCCTGTAATGGGTGCTGTGAAGACAGAAATAAATCAGACACAGACCCTGCCCTCAAGAAAATCCCTGCTGGATGGAGAAAACAAAGGGTTAAACAGCAGTTACCATATGAAGTGCTAAGCCCAAGTGGCCAGGCGTGCACAGAGGGCCTTGAGAGCTGTTAAGATGGAAGGAACCAACTCTGCACAGGAGAATTCCAGGGAGGCTTCCCCGAAGAGGCAGCATCCACAGAGCCCTGCCAAGAAGGTGGCACATGGTGGGGAGTGTCCTGGCCCTCGTTCTGCTAGCAGCTAACTAAGGACCTTGAGTGCGCCTCTCTACTTCTCAAGGCCTCAGTTTTCCCACCTGTAAAATGGGGAGGGTGCTGCGAATAAGACTGTCTCTGAGGACATTTCTGACACCGTAACTTATTGAAAATGAGTCTTGCCTTCTCACACATCTTCTCGCCTACTCCAAGGCACTCTGTCACCTCTACCAAGATCTCTGATGACCTTCCTCCTCCAGAGATGCCACCACCCCAGGTACGGAAGGAGGAAGTCCTGAGAGGCCATCAGTCCCCAGCCCACCATCCCTGAAGACAGGCAGATGAAGGGATCTGGCCCAGCACTGAACGAGGCTCTCTCCCACCACCCTAAGGGATGCTCGGCTCACCCAAGAACATGCCAAGGATCTTCCCTGGCATGAGAGCGGTGCCCACGGAGACTGGTTTTTCTCTGAAGCTACACCCGATGCCATACAGAACCCCAGAGGCTGTCCTGTCTGCCAGGGTGCCAGATGGGACAGGAGGGTTGAGCAGGAAGTGGGGCACACCTCTGAGATAGCGTCAGCAGTGGGAGGCAGGACAGAGCCTGCCACTGGCTTGTCAGTGCCCAGCCACTCCCGTCCCCCCTCCACAGGGTCCCTGGAAGGGGTGCAAAGCAGCCCCGGCACAGGCCCTCCCTCTGAGCCAGCTGCTGGGTGGTGCGATGGAGCACAGCTGTCTGCAGAGCTGGAGGGCTGCGGCAGGAGGACCCATGGAAGACAGACCAGATTCCCCCACCAGCACGCTCCCCTCCCCTTCCTGTCAAGCGTGTTCTCCTCTCCCCTTCAGCCCTTCTTAAACTTGGCAGACTCCCAGCTCAGCTAAGAGTTGGAAAATACGCCCCCCAGCCCCCGCCCAACCAACACACATCCAGTTCTTTCCAGCCCATGAATAGGAGCATGTGGGAAGCTGCGGCCTCTCAACCTCTGCATTAACTTGGATGGGTGATGGTGATGTCACCTCTCTGAACCTTAGTTTCCCCATCTGTAAAGTGGGCATGATAACCGTGCCTACACCTCACCGGATGTTGGAGGGATCAAATTAAATGTGTAGAATGTTTAGCACAGGGTGGGCACCCAGTGAGGAGCGTTGACAGCTGTTGCCACATTCTGTTACACGTGGGCATGCCAGGCACTCTTTTCATGAATTATTTCATTACCTCCCACCAGCCTATGTGGAAGATTCTATTCTTATCCCTGTTTTACAACTGAGGAAACTGAGACCCAGAGTTTAGAGAACCAGTCCGAATCACACAGCTCGACGGGACCCGCTGCTCATTAGCTCTGCTTGTTGGCTGTCTTTTGACACAACACGAGAGCCCGCGGAAGGGCACTGATGCGACGGCAGACACCCAGGGAGCCCAGAGCTTGCACAGAGCCACCCAAGGAGGGTGGACCAAGCAGGGTTGGAACTCGGCTAACTCTGGTCCTGGCCTCCTTCCCCAGTCCCTGCTGCCCTCTCAGGTTCCAAGGGTTTCCAAAGATCTCTGGGGAGAGTGACCATGACGCAACCACGCCTCCACAAAGGACGCTGACCCCCATCGGGCCACCAGAGCCACAAAAATACGAGGCTTTGCGCGCCCTCCAGCGGCCAGAGGTGAGTATTGCTTGTGGCCAGAAGCTGGAGCTCCCGCCACTAAGGCTAAGGTGGGGGCTGAGACCCCTGCCAGGAAGGAAGCAGCTGGGATACTGGAACCACACCCCCAAAACGGAAATGCGAGCTCTGCTCCGTGGGCAGTGATGACCAGCAGAGCCCGTGCACCCTCTACTCTGTACCTTCCTGGAATAGTACAGCTGCCTGGGGTAGGGGGTAGCACCTGCTACCCTTGAGGGTCACAAGTGCACTGACCACTCCTCTGCCTGCTGGGCATCTCTCCTGAAACCAGGAGAGAAGGATTAACTGATAAAATAATACCGATATCATTATATCAAAAAGGACACAGGACAGGAGTCCCTGATCCGAAGGCCCATGGCGGGACCCTAAACAAGAGGTTTCCCCTTGCTGGGACTCAGTTTTCCAATCTGCACCCCAAGGGGACAGACCTCTGACCTCTAAGGTTCTTCCCAGCCTCCACAGGCCACAAGTCTAAGACTTTAAACATAATCATTGTGAGCTCTGGGCAGGGCTAGAGCCCTACCCACCCCAAGCCTGCTGGGGGATCCATCCCTCCACCTGCTCCCTGCCCACCAGTGGCTCTAGGTACACATGCTCCAGAACACACATGCACACCTACAAATTCACACCCGCCCCCTGCAAGACAGCCCATTCGTGAGGGCTGGGCCCGGCATCAGCTCTCACGCCAGATGAACGGAGATGAAGCCCCTGTCTCAGCAAAAGCAACTTCAAGAGGCAGGAGTCCCTCCTCCCCCAGGCTGCAGGGGAGAAAGCCCAGCAGGTGTCCTTGGGGGTCCAGATGGAGCCGGAGCCAGAAGTTAGGATACAGAGTGCAAGTCGTTGAGATCGAGGGGGACCCAAAAGGCAGCCAGTACCCCGGAATTAATAACAACAGTAACAGTGATGATGGTGGAAAGGTAACAGGCATGAGTCTCTGTGCCCAGGCTCCGTTCTGGGCACTTGTGTGACTGACCGCACCTGGCCTTCACAACCACCCGCCGCAGTGGGGCTGAATTCATCCCCATTTTACAGGTGGGGAAACTGAGGCTCCAAGAGAAGCAGCAGCAACAGGCCCAATCTCTCACAGCAGGGACCCAATCCCGACAGCCTGACCACGTCCCAGACCATCATTCACCCATTCCATCGTCTGGTCCCTCCGGGGGGTGACCCTGGCCCACGTCCCCAGCATCTAACCAGGGACATTCCCACACCCCAACCCAGGCCCGGTCACGCTCCTGCCTCTGCTCGGAGCCGGGGGTGGTGGCGGACAGAGGGGGTCCAGGCAGCCCCGCCCAAACACAGGATGGGCAGGGGCAGGGGTCGCCTGGCTCATGTCCCGGCGCAGTACCAGCCACCTCGTGGGCACTGAACGTGTATTTGCTGAGTGAGTGAATGAACGAATGAGGGAATGAATGCTGATAAGAGGAGGCTCCTGGGGGCAGCAGACTGACTGCCACGGCCACACTGCCATGGAGTCGGATTCTCCATCTGTCACCTGGAGCTTGGACTCCAAGGCCCCCCCAGCTCTGACAGCCCAGGACTCCAAGTGGCCTGGTGACCTTAGAATCTTCACAGTTACCTCACAGCTGCTGGTTCCACAGGACCTCCAGGACTCAGCAGGTCCCCAGGTTGGTTTCTACCTGTTTCACCCAGTATTTCTGGTCCTGCCCTTCTCCAATGAGCCAAAGCTGGGCCAGGGATGCCAGCTTTATCTGGTCTTGGTCTTAGCCAGACCCAGGCAAGACGGCAAACCTGTCACATGGACACTGACAGATATCTCACCAGTATCTGCTCCACGCCCAGAATAAGGGTCTGGATTATTCAAAATCCCCATGGGGCACCAGAGGTGGGTTCTGCGGGCCCAAGGCCAGAGGCTGGCCCGGGAGCAGCTCCCAGCTCCAGCTTCGGGGCTGGGACGGAGTGGGGGTATCTGAGGGGTATCCGAGGCCCCACGGCTGGGTCATGGGCCAGGCTGGTGATTCCAGACCCAGCCACATGCAGCCCAGATGAAAGGCGTGTGGTCCTGAGAGCCCCCCTTCCTGCCCTGGCCACCTCTGGAGGACACCATAGGAAGGGGAGGCGCCAGGCCAAGGTCTCTCCCAGAGGCCTCCCTGGCCAAAGCCAAACCAAAAGCCAGAGGGTGGGCTCCCATGGACAGAGTGACCCAGACTCCCCTACCCGGCTGGCTGTGGCAGCCTCCCAGACAGCCTGCCTACGTCCACTCCATCCACCAGCCACAGTGCTCGGCCACTCCCAACACTTCCCTCCACTTCCCATCGACCGAGACAAACCCCAGGCCCACAGGGTCCAGTCCATCTACTCCCAGACCCTGCCTGGTGCTGCTTCCCACTCCGGCTACTGTCCAGCAAGACAGCCTCCCCACCAGACCAAACGCTCTCCTGCTTCCAGGTCTCTGCACATGCACTTCCCTCGGTGAGAACACTGTTCCCCCAACCCTCCACTGGCCTGGCCGCTTCTCCTTCTTCAGGTCTCACCTTCAGGATCTCACTCCTTAGAAAGGCCTTCACCAACCAGCCCACCCCACGCACAGGAGGTCAGGCTCTCACCCGACACCCTCTTCCTCCCCTTAGGACCCTCAGCACGATGAGTAATTGTAAGCTTCCTGCCTGTTCATTTGACTCATCTATACATTAAACTTGTCTCCCTCTATAAACTGTGAGGGTGGGCTCACATCTGGTTTGCTGGCCACCATATCCATGGTGCACAGTAGGTGCTCAGTAAATACTTGGGGGACAAATGTTTGCAAGGTGGGACAGCTAGTGGAGCATCTCAACCTCCTCCTCTAGGCAAGAGAGCACCCAGCCAGCCCTGGAGGGAGGATACTTAGGTTCAGGTCTCGGCTCACCTGTGGGACTCTAGGCAGTCCCTTCCCACCCAGAATATGAGGGTGTGGCATCTGATGGTCCCCAATGGCTCTTTTGGTTCTGACGAACCACCAGGCTCCAATCCCAGGCTGAAAGCCAATGCTTAGACCCCATCCCCCTATGGGTTGAATTGTGTCCCCCAAAATTCAGTCATTGAAGTCTTAACCCCTAGTGCCTCAGAACGTGACCTTGGTTGGCAACAGGGTTGTTGCAGTTGTAATTGGTTAAGACGAGGTCATATTGGAGGAGGGTGGGCCCCTAATCCAATATGACTGGGGTTCTTATTCCAAAGGGCTATTTGGACACAGGCTCACCCAAAGAGAATACCACATGAAGATGGGGGATATGGTGCCACAAGCCAAGGAACTACCCAAAGCTGGGAGAGAGGTCTGGAACAGATCCTTCCCCAGCGCATTCCGAGGGAGCACGGCCCTGCTGACACCTTGATCTTGAACTTCCAGCCTCCAGAATGTGAAACAATACATTACACTGTATAAACCACTCAGTTTGTGGTACATTGTCATGGCAGCCCCAGCAAAACGATACACCCCCTCGCCTCCTCCCAACCCGGACGCCCAAACTAATGAGTCAGGAACCAAGACGGAAAGGGCTGGAGGCAGCCAACTGGCGGCTGAGAAGCCAGCGCGGGCAGGGCAGGGCTCCCAGCCTCCCGTGGGAGCCAGAGGGTAAAAGTCCCCTGAGAACCCCTGATCTAGATCTCCGAAAATCTGAGCCCATATTGACATTCACACGCACAGTCTGTCTGATGGTGAGAGGGATTTTTTCCCCCTCCCTCTACCCCCTTTAATTAAAAACTATAAACGCCTTATTGAAAGCTAATTTAAAATACCAACACAGTGCCAAGTGGCAAAAAAAAAAAAAAAAAAAAAAGCTCAGTACAAATATCCGGTTATAATCCTGCAACAGGCTGTGATGACGCAGCAATTAGAGGCGCGTGGGAGGGGGAGGGAGGCTGAGGCTTCGGCACATCAGCTATCTCTGGAGGTGCTGGGGGCAGCTCTCTGCTCTGCCCAGCCCTTGCCATTGGACTGGGAGCTGAACGAGTCACAAGGGGACAGGGGACCACAGCACTCGTGTCCCTCCCCGAGTCTCAGGATCAGCATCCGTAAAGGGGAGGCAGTTCTCAAGGGTCGTGGCGAGAATTAAGATAACGCGCCTGCATAAGCATTTCACCGCATCCCGGCACACGGCAGCTCCAACGCTCTCAGCCTTGCTCTCCAGACGTTATTATCTGTGCCGTCGATGACTTAATAAAATAACGGAGATTGAAATGCCTCACCCCACTGGGCACTCGCTGTGCCAGGTCCTATGCTTTGCCTTCACTGAATCTTTTACCCCACAGGTACCCATGAGCTGTGGGTGTTACCATGATTCCCATTTTACAGATGAGGAGACTGAGGCACAGAGGAGAAGCTGCTCGCCCATGGACACATCTGTCATCAGGGCAGAGCGTGGACATGAAGCCACATCTATCTGAGCCCAGAGACCCTGCTCTCATCCAGCAGAGTTTCCCGCCAATGGGCTGAGCTGCCTGTATGGTAGTGAGCACCCCGTTCCTGTGGGGATCAGGGATCTCCAATCTCCCCAGCACTTCGATTCCCCGATTTTTTTCTGAGCTGCCTCCCTGGCCTGCCTCCCATAGACGCTCTGGTACAGGATGTGGCTCTCAGTCAGGGCTCAGGGCTGCCCCCATCGCCCCCAGCCCCCCATCCTTACCGCTGGTCCCGGGGTACGCGGCAAGGGTCCCATCCTGCAGGCCAGCAAACAGGTGGAAGGGGCTGTGTCGCAAGCACAGCACGGGCTGCAGGCCTGGGCTCCTGCAGGTCGCCAGGCACTGGGTGCCCGTATCCACGCTGCTGTAAACCAGGATGCTGTGGGGAGAGGTCGAGTGACTCACTTAGCCCCCCACGTGCCCACTCCCCACGTGCCCTCCTGGTGAGAGGCTCCGAGCCGCCCCAGCCAAGCTCAGCGAGCCTCCCTGCTGCGTGAACAGGCCGATGCTCGGACTTTTCCATGGGTGGCCTTTAGAGGATGGTGCCCGTGGAAAACAGGGGGCTCTGGGTGCAGCACAATAGAGGGGCTAAGAGAACAGTTTTCAGGGTCACACAGACCCGAGGGTGAATCCAGACGTGGCCCATCCAGCTGACTGACCTGGACCGCTGAGCCTCAGTCCTCTCCAAAAAACGGGGCCGTGATGCCTACCTCACAGCCATAAAAAGGAATGAAGAACCGAGGTGCTATGTGGGTGAACCTTGAAAATGTTATGGGGAGCGAGAGAAGCCAGGCACAAAAGGCCACACACATTGTGTGACTCCGTTTGCCTGAAATGTGCAGAAGAGACAAACACAGAGCAATGAGAAGTGGACTAGTGGTTCCCAGGGATTGGGGCAGGGAATGGGGGCTGATGCAGGGTTTCTTTTGGGGGTGGCGAGAATGTTCTAGAACTATGTAGTGGTGATTGTTGCCCATCATGAATGTACTGGAAGCCACTGAATTATACGATTTAAAATGGTTAAAGTGGTGAATTTTATGTTGTTTGAATTTGATCTCATTAAAAGCAAAGAGTGTTCACCAGACCCCTGGGTTCTGTGGACCCAGACCAGGACATCCCAGAGCCTCTAGTGCCTCCAAGTTGGTTCTATGTATGTTAGCTTTTAGCTCCTCCCCCAGCTGCTTGTGTGGGAAACACTTCATAGTGGGGCTACTGTGAGGCTCACAGCCCCTGGCCCAGGGAGTAGCACACAGTAGGTGCTCAGGAAACATCCTCTCTCCCCGCTTCCCCCGACTCTAGGACAGGCGTGAAAAGCTTGGAGCTGTGAGGAGGACGCGGGGGTGTAGCCCATCTCAGGGTCTTGTCCATCACCATCTTCACCTTCCATTTAAGTGGGATGAATATTCACCCTCCATCCACACGGCTGGACCCTCCAGCAGGCTAAACTCTGGCGGGAGTGCCCCTTGCTGCCAGGAAGTATTGCTGACTCACCAGCTCCGGGAGGGTCTTACTGGGGGAGCCCCCTCTGCCAGCAGGTCTCATAACCCGGGAACACCCAGGACGCCTACCCGCCCTACAAAGCTAACTGAGGCCATAGCTGGGTGGATGCTGTCAATTACAGAGAAGGGACCTAAAGGCTTCACATGTCCCATGTCCTAGTGGACTCTCACCGCGGCCCTGCATGGAAGGATGCTAACACCCACTTCACAGACAGGAAACTGAGGCTCAGAGCGCTTAAATGGCATGAGGAAATAGCAGATCCAAACCCAGCTCTGGCTGACACTGAAGTCAGCGTTGCCCTCGGTACCACACTACCCGGAAGGGAGCCAGCTTGCACGAAGCAGCCACTGAAGGGTCCTGGTTAAAGTGCGAGCAGCTCCTGGTTCCCCCTTTCTGCTCTCAGCCAGGGGTGGAGAATGTTGGTGGGTGACAAGCCAAAGCTACACGGATAGCCTCCGATGCACCTGCCCGGCCCTGCCCCAGGCTGTTCCCAGCCCCTCCTCCCTAGGCCTCTAACCTGCCATCCTGGAGCCCGAGGCAGACGGTGGGGTGCACTCCAGCCGAGGCGTCAGCAGCCGAGCACTTCTTGTCTCCGTCTCTGCTCTCCTCCTCCTCCGGCTCCGGAATGTACTCCATGCAGAGCACAGGGGCCACCAGCGGGAAGGACTTGACCGTGCGGGGCGTGGGCCGGTTCAGGGAGAAGATCTCGATCTGGCCCCCTGCACCTTCCTGCCCGCCCCCGACCTGGGGCAGAGACCCAGAGAGGCCATCAGGTGAGAACCATGAGAGTAAAGGCAGAGCTCAGCCCCTGCCTCCCAGGGACCCGTCCCGAACTTCTACTTGCCACTGGGGTTAGGTATCAAGAGAAACGTCCCCCCTCCTGCCCACACATATCCTGCTGTCATTGAAGGTCGCTCGGTCCCAGCTGCCATGGCAACAAGTCAGATTCAGGGCCCAAAGGAAATCAGGTAAAGAACTAAGGTGGACTAGATACCCGGTCAGCTTTCTATTTCCTCATCTCCAGGGTAAATTTCAACCAACAAATAGTGAGCATACACTCTGCGCTTTAAAATGTCCTTCTCTGTCCTGTTCACTGTTCTACCTCTGTGTCTAGCACATGGCAGGCACTCATTATATACTTGCTGAGTGGACGGATGGACGGATGGGTGGATGGAAGGATAATGGATGGATGGATGGATGGATGGATGGAAGGATAATGGATGGATGGATGGATGGATGGATGGATGGAAGGATAATGGATGGATGGATGGATAGATGGATGGAAGGATAATGGATGGATGGATGGAAGGATAATGGATGGATGGATGGATGGATGAAAGGATAATGGATGGATGGATGGATAGATGGATGGAAGGATAATGGATGGATGGATGGATGGATGGAAGGATAATGGATGGATGGATGGATGGATGGATGGATGGAAGGATAATGGATGGATGGATGGATGGATGGATGGAAGGATAATGGATGGATGGATGGATGGATGGATGGAAGGATAATGGATGGATGGATGAAAGGATAATGGATGGATGGATGGAAGGATGGATGGATGGAAGGATAATGGATGGGTGGATGGATAGATGGATGGAAGGATAATGGATAGATGGATGGATGGATGGAAGGATAATGGATGGATGGATGGATGGATGGATGGATGGAAGGATAATGGATGGATGGATGGATGGACGAAAGGATAATGGATGGATGGATGGATGGATGGATGGATGGATGGATGGAAGGATAATGGATGGATGGGTGGATGGATGGATGCATCATGTGCTAGATGCTGAGGAAACAGTGAAGGACAAATCACCCTCAGAAGGGACATTTGGGCTGAACTCTGAGTTCAGAGTTTCCCTGCTTAAGTACCTGGAGACAGGAATAAGCAAGAGGAAGTAGAGGATGACCAGAGGGGTGGTGAGGCTGGAACCTCAGGGAATCTATGGGAGGCCACCATCTGCACACCAGGAGCATGGGGGGTGGGGAACACCTATTTGAATCGAGGGAGGCTCTGCCAGGAACCCCAGGGGCAGAAAGGTGGGCTGGGATCTCCATGAGAGATGGGCGGCCCTGCCCCCTGACTCCTGGAGTGAAGACCCTGCCATCCACATACTCCACACAGCTTCCCGTTCATTTCCATCATGGCACCAAGGCCACTTCGAAGCTCAGAAATAAGTGAGCTTATTTGTCCCTTGGTTTTCTATTGTCCCTGGTGAGGTCACACCTGCCAACTCTGAGCACAGAGCCTGGCACAGAAGTTCCCAGGAAGACCTTGCTGGATGAAGGTGCAGAAAATGGGGGCCACAGGCAGGCAGCTTTCTCCAGCACCCACCCCGGGTGCCACCCTCCCTGCTCATGCCCTGAGGCCAGAATCCCTGGCTGGGCCTGGGGGTTACTCACCCAGAGGTAGCCCTGTGGAAGGGAGGTGCTGACAGCCGAGAAGCCCAGCAGGGGACAGCTGACAGGGCTGTGGATCAGGGCCCCAAGCTGCAGAGACAGACGGCACACACAGGGTTAAGTGTCGAGGTGACTGAGATGCTGACATTTGACAGCAAGACCTTGGTCTGAACCACCCGAGGGGCTGTTAAACCTGCAGATTCCTGGGTCCCCTTCAGGCCCCGAGTGAAGCCCCTGAGAGTGGAGCCAGAAAGGGGGCAGGTTCCTCTCCAGGCAGCTCCTATGCACTCGCACTTGACCATCGCTCTCCTAGAACCTTCTGGCCAAAAGGAGGCTGAATGAAACTCTGGGCCAGCAGAGGGATTTTCAAACCAGGCAACTTCCAGATAAGATATGTTGAAAACCACTAATGCCCACCCCCCATATTTTACAAACAGGGAAAATGAGGTCCACGGAAGACACGCAATTGCCCGAGGCCACGGGGACGGTAAGTGCATCCCCCAGGGAAGCACAATGGAGGGGGATCCTCAGGTCAACAGAGCCCCTCTGCAGACGACCCCTCCAGGACCAGAGGGCTGGGTCCGCAGTCTGGGGGCTCCGTCTGTAATGGGTTGTCACTGAGAACCACCAGCCGCTTGTTCCTTGTGCATCTGCTGTCCCAAACCCCATGCCTCTGGTGGCTCTCTGGGGCCTGTTTCCTGAGCTAGACCTGCCCGTCTCTCTCTCCCTGTCCACAACATTGGCCAGGACAGCAATGTGAGGAGATGGCCTGGCCCTTTCATGGGCCTTGCTGGAAACTCCAGCCAGACTGAAGGAGAAGGAGGCTGAGTGGGGAGAGCTCCAAGGTGCCCCCAGGAGAAATGCAGCACCGCTGGACCTTTTGACAGGCAGGTGCTGCCCTCTGCTGGTCCTGAGGGCCCGGCCAATCCCAGCCCTGCTAGAATATTCTAATAAAGTCTCTAATGGCCATGGGTGAGGGGACCCAAAGAGGTCACCGCATCCAGCCCCCTCATTTAGGAGTTGGCAAACTTGAAGTTTGGTGGGTGGGGGGATGTGACTGGTTCAAGGTCACACAGCAAGTTAATGGCAAAGTCGGGGCTGGAATTCACTTCCGAATCCCAGCCCAGTGCTCTTTCTGGTTGAACTCTACCCAGAGGCCAGACTGCCAGGCTGGAGACCTTGGCACTCTGGGGTACAACTTATGCCAGGCCTCCTGGGCACCCTCAGCCCCCTGTTCCCCATCACTTTGCTTCTTGGGGGGCCACATCCAGCTGGGTGCCTGGCCCTTTCTGCCACGCAGCTGCTCCTGTCCTCTCAGACGGGGAGGGGGCAACCGCAGCCCTGGCTCAGACGTTTCCATGGCAACTCCAGCAGGCCGGATGTCAGCCCGGTCAACAGAGCCTGGGTCCAAGACGATGGCAAAAACTCAAACGGCTCCTTGGAGGGGCAAGGCCCTGGACCCAGAAGTCCTGTCCATGCCAGGAAGCCGACTCCCCAAAATCAAGGTGCCCCATGAAGAGTGGAGGAGAGCACAGGCTGTAGAAAGGAGGCCAGCTTTGGACGCGGCCAGCGGGCTCCAGTCCCAGCTCGGCTGCTACCAGCTGGGTGACCGCACAAACCCGTTCTTCATGGTCATGGGGACCTTGACACCCTGTCAGGATGGCCTTGGGGACTAGGGATGGTGGACATGAAGCCCAGCAGCGGCCACTGCTTACGAGGACTTCCTGTGGGATGCGTGGGCACTCGCTAAGCAGTAACACTCCGTCAGCAGAACAACACTATGGGGGAGGGGCTATTCCACATGAGCCACCGTGACACACAGTTAGGAGCCAGGGACCCACGAACAGCAATTCTGGCGGATGGAGGGTGACAGCCGGGACAGAGCCCACTTAGCTAGTGTACTGAGGCCTAGGCAAGCCTGCCGACAAGACCCTCTGCAGCTCTGGGATGCAGCCCCCAGGCCCCCAAGATGCTTGCATGTTAAAGCTCCCCAGAGTGGGCACCCACCCCCTCCCCAAGGCCCTGTCCCCAGCCAGGCCTCTAACTGGACCTCAGCCCAAGGGAGAAGGGGTTTGCACTGAGCCCTCCCCTTCCCACCCCCCTTGCCCGCCAGGGAGAGGCTTACACCTCGGATGGAGCCCAGGTTCAAGAAGAACCTCCCAACACCTGACAGTCAGGCTATCGCAAACCCCCCAAAACAGACACCAGTGACTTTTCCTTCCTGGTGACCAAGATGTCCTCAAATATTTGCTTCCAATTCTTGAACTCCGAAGGTAGGGCACACAGCAGACAGTAAGCATTTGACAAGAATCGTATCATTTAACCCTCACTACGACCCAATCGGGGAGGCACCACGGCCACCCCAGTTTATGCACTGAAGACACAGCTGGGACGTGCAGAGCTGGGATTCAGACCCAGGGCAGGTGGCTCCCATGGGGGCTCTTTCCCTCCCCCAAGCAATTCCCTGATGAGTCTGAAGGCCATGGTGCAGCCCAGCATGGGGACCGGCCATCCTCAGCACGGAGAGGAGAGATGCCCTTTTCTTCAACCCCAGCATCCCTGCTCCCTTGAGGGAAAGAACCCAGCACACACCCCCATCTGGCTGGCAGTACAAGAGGTCTGAGCTCATCTACGCTGGGAGGGGGTTGGAATAACAAGACTTTCTGGGAGAACAGCCTCGGCTGCAGCTCTCGTCGGGCCAGCCGCGGAGCCCGAGTCCTGGACCCCCAGGACTGGGCCTGGGGAGAGGCGTAGGCAGGGACCCACACGCTCACATGTGTTCGCGGTAATTGGACAAGGCCCTGGAGCTCAAGGCCCTAACCCACCTGCTGCCGGCACGGAGCCGATGGGCACATGTGTTTGGTCCGGGGTGGGAGGCAGGTGCAAGCAGAGGGCACGGTGTCTTGGGGCCCAGCAAACGGGGACATGCAGGCTCTGATAAGTCCCTCGGGAGCTCCACGGGCCCATCACTCGCGGGGATTCCCTCACAGCTCCCTTGGATCACTCGGGGGCGGGGCGGAGGGTGGTGTTCCTCGGGAGAGGTCAGGCAGCGGGCTGGGAGGGGGTTGAGGATGCTTCCAGCCTACACGGCCCCAGCCCCATGAGCTTCACATGAGGAGATTCTGAGGCCCAATTACCCCCAGGGAGAGGAGGTAGATGGCTGCCCGCTCAAATGGGCGTTTCTTGCAGGGAGGCCCCAGAGGCAGCCGCCTGTCTGTGACCCCACCACCCCGTGTGGCCTGTCAGGGCATGGGCCCGCGTCCTGTATTCCCCAGAGGCCCAAGGCCCCGGGAGGAGATGGGACAATCCACTCCCCACCCCAGAAGTCCTTCTCCACGGGATGCGCTAGGGCCAGGAGAGCCGCAGGCAGGGGCGACCTGAACCATCCCCACCCCGAGGCCCACAGGCAACCCCCAGGAGGTAAGAGCCTTCCGTTATCAATAAATAAGGACTGAAGTCCTACAAAGGCTGGGACTGTTTGGTGGGGCGATCGCGCTGGGGCACATGCCAGCCAAGCCCCAGGGAGCGGCGGGAAGGAACAGGATCGGGCAGGGGTCAAGAAAACCCTCCTTGCCCAGCGGGCAAGTTATCACTCCTGAATCCCTTCTCTCAGCTGCAAGGAGTAGCAGCCCCTCCTCTGAGGGCAGCTGCGGGGATCAGAGTTCATCGCTGGGAAATGCCCAGAACAGAGTCTGGCACAGATGCCTCTGGGAAGGGCCTGACCCCAAGTTGTCAAGACTAAAGGACTTTAAGTCATATCGCTGTTGCTGTCATTGTTGTTGTTGTTATTACGGCCACTGTCCACTGAGCACCCGCTACCAGTCAAGCTCAGTGCTGGGAACCTGACCCAGCCTCTCTCACTGAATCCCTAAATCAGGCTGTGGAACAGGAAACAGCAGCTCACGCCGCTGACACCAGCTTTCGGGAGCGCAAGCCAAATACTCAGCTCATCCGTCCTCTCCCTCACCCTCAGCCCCCGTCTAATCTCTCACCAGTTCAGCCATTCCTACCCCAGAGCGCTGCCCCAATGTTTGCCCACCAGGGCCGGGACCAGGGTGAGGAGAGCGGGGCACTCATCCCAGGGGCACATCTTCAGCGGGGCCCAAACACTCAGAGATATATTTTAACACAATCAAGAAAATATTTTAACACGATTTGTTTACAATAAAAATGCAAAAAAAAATCCATAGTGAATAATTACTAAGAGTTTAAATAAAGACAGGACATGACCCTGCCTCACCCTAATGCTGGCTCTTTATTTACCAAAAAAAGCCGGCAAACCAAGGCCACGGTTTGCTGGTCTGATTTTTTTTTAAGTATTGTGTGAAAATATCACTTATTTCGACCATGAGTGCCTCACTCGTCTCGCGCTAGTCCTCCCCGGCCTCCAGCCTGGCCTCCTCCCCGGCCTCCACCTGCACCAAGTCCCACCCCATCTCAGCAGGACCCCAGCGCCAAGCTCTGCTCCGGGCTCTTGGTCTCCAGCCCTGCTCCCTCCGTGTCCACGGTTCACTCCCACACAAAAGCCAGAAGGATCAGATGATCCTTCCAAAATATAGACCAGATCGTGCCAGTCCCCTGCTTGGAGCCATGCTTGGCTTTTCGTTGCCAAGAATGAAATCCAAACCTGACCCAGCCTGCGAGTCCGGTGCGGCCCAGCTCACCCACCATTGGGCCTCCCCTCCCAGCTCACTGAGCTACAGCCATGCCAGCTGCCCCAACTGCTCCTTTCATGGGCTTCTGTGTCAGTCTGTCTTGTCTTGTCAATATTTGAAATATTCTACCCCTGGGGCCTCAAGGGGTTGGATCCTCCTCGCCATTCGGGGCTCACTTTATTTTTTTATTTTTTTGCAGTACGCGGGCCTCTCACCGTTGTGGCCTCTCCCGTTGCAGAGCACAGGCTCCAGACGCGCAGGCTCAGCGGCCATGGCTCACGGGCCCAGCCGTTCCGCGGCATGTGGGATCCTCCCGGACCGGGGCACGAACCCGTGTCCCCTGCATCGGCAGGCGGACTCTCAACCACCGCGCCACCAGGGAAGCCCCGGGGCTCACTTTAAATGCCACCTCCTCTGAGAGGCCCTCTCTGACCCCCTAGCTACGTGGCTCCATCTCTGTATCTATTATATTGGATTTATTTTCTTTATGACACACAGCACTCTTTTCTATTTGCTTTTGTTTGCCGGGGCGGGGGGGTATTACCTGTCTCTCCTCTAGATTGAAAGTTACATGTAGGCAGGAACCTTGTATGTTTTGGTCACCACCGTATTCCCAGTGTCTGGCACAGAGCCTGGCACACAGTAGGTCCTCAAAAATTATATGCAGAACGGATGAATGAATGAATTGGCATCTCAAGGGTATTTTAGCTGTTTAGAGCCCCTATCTACAGCCCAGTTTGTCTCTTGGGGATTCATCTGGGCCTAGATCCCCTCCCTGGAGCTCAGATGACCTCATCTCCTTGGGAGGCGGATGGGCAGTAACTACTCCAGGTGGAGGGGTGAGCTCAGCCGGGACATCGGGGACAGATGACACTGGAAGTGAACATCCTTGTGGTTACAACCTGGGGCGCTGGAGTCAGCAAGGTTCCAATTTCTACAACTCACTCATCCTTACCGGCGGTGTTGTTTTTTTTAGAAAAATCACGTCACCTGTCTGAGCCTTAGCTTCCTTACCTGTGAAACAGATCTAGAAACATCTATTCATGGGGTTCTTATAAATATTAAAACAAGACAGTGCCAGCAAAGCACCAAGAGGCATGATGGCTGTGGAGCCAAAGCTGGCTGCCCCACGGCAGCATCATAAAGGGTGAAACCCACAAAGTCTGGCACGGCCAGGTGGGCCTATTACCGTCTATCTTCTGAGCTGGAGTCACGCCATCAACTGATGAGATCATTGCTATGTGTCAGCTCAAAATGATGGAATTTTCTGTTCAATGACCCACAGAGGGCATCTGCCCCCTTTTTTGGGGGGGAAAGCTGACTCTGAGAACAACAAAAAGGCTCGATCAACTCCGTCAGCAAGAAGTCTAGAAGCTGAAGCTGGAAGCCAGGCCTCCCCTGCCGTGGGCGCCACCTGGAAACCCTGGTTGTCCCAGGAGCCACCTTCGTGGTGGGCTCAGCAAGATGCGCGCCACTCACCTGCAGGCTGAGGCCCCGGGGAGAGAAGGCAGGGATGCAGCAGGCCAGGATTGGGCACCAGAACGGGGCTTTGCTCTTCTTGTCCTCGTCCGGACACAGCCAGCCCGGCTGGTTCTCCTCCCCTGCGGCAAGAGGAAGGAGGTGGGAGGAGCTGGTCAGAGAGCGAGGACCAAGTGGACTTCCTGAAAGCCCAGGAAGCCACCGCGGGCCCCAGAGGCCTGGCCCGCATGCCCCACGGACCCAGCCAGCCGCTCCCCCAGCCCCACGCCTGCCCGGTGAGGTGAAATCCAGCCTCACTCCACGGTCACAGCCATGGGTCCCAGGCTGGGAGTCGGGAAACCTAAGGCTTCAGTCCCAGCTTGCCCACCTTCTCACTGAGCAACCTTGTGCAAATCTGCCCGACGCTCTGAGCCTCGATTTCTTCACCTATGAAATCGGGACGATGAAAATGCCTTCATCCTGCAGTTGCTGCGAGGATCCAGTGAAATAGCACATGTGACAGGGTTTCAAAAGGCATTAAGACACGGGGCACAGTCCAGGCCCCTGCTACCTTGACCTTACCTTCTAGAGGCGGGAGGCGGCCAAAAACAAGTAGGCGGACAAGAGGATTTTGGATTGTGACAGCGCAGCCATGACACTTTTATACCTGTGATGACGATGGTCAAGAGGAAGACTCTCTCTCCTGCTCCCTTTAAGACCTACCCTGAAACCTAGGAGGTCACCTGCCTCCAGGTCCCCCAGTCGAGCTGGCATCGAAGCCCCTGGCAGCCTGTTAGAAGTGCACATGCTGGGCTTTCCTGGTGGCGCAGTGGTTAAGAATCCGCCTGCCAATGCAGGGGACACGGGTTGGAGCCCTGATCCGAGAAGACCCCACATGCCGTGGAGCTACTAAGCCCGTGCACCACAACTACTGAGCCTGCGCTCCAGAGCCCATGAGCCACTGAACTACTGAAACCCGCACGCCTAGAGCCCATGTTCCGCAGCAAGCGAAGCCACCGCAACGAGAAGCCCGTGCACCGCAACGAAGAGGAGCCCCCACTCGCCGCAACTAGAGAAAGCCTGCGCACAGCAACAGACCCAATGCAGCCAAAAATAAATAAATTTATAAATTAAAAAAAAAAAAAAGGAAGTGCACATGCTGCTCAGGCCCAAGCCAAGCCTGGACCCTGGACCCTCACCTGGAGACTGCTGCGCTCAAGAGCATCTGCTCAACCACATTCTCTGTGGAGTCTCCTTCACATGGGTCTAGGCTCCCTCACACGCCACCACCTCCAAGAAGTCCTCCCTGACCACCCTGGCTACAATGGCCCCCTTCTCTCAGAAACCACACTAAACACCCTGTCTTATTTCCCATACAGCTTTCACAATCAAAAATCATGTTTTCTGTTTCCTTGCTTACGGTCTGTCTCTATATGTCTGTAGAATGTAAGTTCAAAGCAGTAGGGATCTGGGTTTTCTTGTCCGCCACTATCTCTCTGGCACCCAGCACGCTGCCCACACATAGTAAGTGCTCAGCGAACACGGGTTGAAAGAATGAACGAGTGAGCAAATGAGTAAACCGCCATCTCTCCTGAGGAATTCTCCCTGCTAAGGAGCCCATATTCTTTATACTCCATCTGATGCCTGCCCTCCAGGGATCCCATGACGGCAGGGGCAGGGCGCAGCTCAGACACGCCCAGTATGTGTCCAGGCGTCAGGCACACTCTGAGGGCGTCACATGTGCTCCCTGGCTTGTTTTCACAATAACCCAGCACAGTCAGAATAACAATTTTCACCTTACAGATGACGAGACTGACAATTAAGTAAGCTGAGCAAGTCACGTGCACGGCTAGGCGGCAGAGCCCACATGCGGACCTAGGTCTGTCTGACTGACAGGCTGAGCTCTTTGCACTAATCCAGGCAATCTTCCAGCAATCAGACCCCCCAGTGACACCCCTGGGCATGAATGACCCTGGACATGGTGACACTAGACAATGAGGAGGTACTCTGCCCCGAAGATCCAGAGGCACTGGACAGGCCACCCCAGGCGAGAGAGGCCACTTAACGCAATGACATCAAGATGAGGGGTGCCTAGAGCTTTGGAGATGGGAGGAGAGGTCACCAACCAAAGGGTCCGACAGCAGCCTTCCCCCCACCACCACACACATCTACTCAGCTACAAGGAGGGAGCGTCAGCTCAGCCCAAGGGTGCCCCGCCGCCACATGGGGACCTCCTGACCAGTCTTTCTGTGCTCCCTACTGCCCCCTACAGTTGGTCCTCCCCACAGCAGCCAGAGCCATCCTGCTAAACTTCCCCTGGACCTCGTTGTTCCCCTGCTTAAAAATGCCTACTGAGTCCCCGACCAGTTGGAATAAAATCCAAACTCTTCCACAAGAGCTGCAAGGACCCTCCTTCCCTCTCAGCCTCATCCCTCGGCTGCAGGCTCCACCACGCTACGCTTTCCTCAGCAACTTAAACGGGACGAGCCCGGAAAGCCCCCTCTGCCTGGAAGGCTGCACTCAGCTCTCTCCAGGGCTGGCTCTGCTCCTCTGCGAGGCTTAGGTTGCGCCTCCACCTTCTCGGAAAGGCCTTAACTGACCATCATCCCGTCCGCCGCCTCCATCACTTTCTGTTTCAGCCCCTGTCGGTGTGTGTAGTGGCCCCCGACCACAATTTCCAGCTCTTTTACTGGCTTGTCTCTTTTCTCCTCCGTGTGTGTGTGTGCGCCCGCGCGTGCGCGAGTGCACACGTATATGTGCGTGCGTGCGTGTGCACATGTGAGTGTTTCATCGTGCTTGTGTGCCCAGAGGCTCCCCTACAACGCCCATGTTCCATGACGGCTGAAACCTTCCACACCATCTCCTTCTGTACCCTCCAAACCCCTCACATGGCGCTGGACACACAGCAGACCATCAACACCCTCGTGTGGCATGAACACAGTCTCTTCCTGGAGCCTCATTTTCCAGATTTGTCAAATCGGAATGATGGCCACCAAGAGCAGTCACCACCCCCAACCCCCGGCCAGCACAGAGCGACACTGCAGAAATATGGTCAACTGCGGGGGGGGGGGGGGAACAGGAGGAACCAATCCAACGGTACGAAGCTTTGCTTTTGCAAGGTGAGTGAATCCTAGAGATTATCTGTACAGCCTATAGCTAACAATTCTGTATGACGTGCTTAAAGATTGGCTAAGAGGATAGATCTTATGTTAAGCGGGCTTATCACACACACAAAAAATAATAATAAGGAAGAGGGCAGGAGGGAGCTTTTCAGAGGGTGGGTTTGTTTATGGCGTAGACTGTGGCGATGGAGTTCACAGGGGTATGCTTACCTCCAAAGCCATCAAGTTGTATTCTTGAAATATGGATAGCTCTTTGTATGTCAATCACACCGCAATAAAGGGGCTTTAAAAATGCCGTTTAGGTCTGCGTGTAGGTCACAGCAGAGAGAAGCCGGAATGCGGGGAAAGGTGCGGAGGCTCTTTGAGAAGATGAAGACATCCGCAAATGTCAGAAATTATTTTGTGAACAGCTGGCTCCGACAGAGGCTCCGGTGCCTGCCCCACCCCCTCAAGTAGTGGAAGCGCTGGATAGGGAGCTCACTCCCTAAACGGGCCAGAGGCGTCCCCGGTGTCAGGCCCTCTGCCCCACTGAGCCCTGGAGGAGACAGAGTCGCATGAAACCTGGTTCCCGCCACCGAGGAGAAGAGGCCATCAAGGAAAGTACAACGATGGCACAGGGTGGGCATCACCGAAACAGAACGGCTGTGCGCGCCGCACTTCACGGTTTACAAAGCTCTGTCCCGCACGTCATCCCACAGACACCAGGGGAAGTCGGAGTTCCCATCCCCGTCTACACTGGGGAAACGGAGGTCAGGGAGTCAAAAACAGGGTCCAGGAGCCAAGCAACTAACCTCTGGGGCACTTTGCACAGCGCCCGCGGCCGGGCCGTGACAGCCGAGACAAGACCGCCCGCTCTGGGGGACACCACTTCTCCTTGGCAGGAACTCACATCACAGCCACTGCTCTGCCCCTTGGACAAGGCTCCGGGCAGTGAACAAAGATGATCGAGATTGGAGAGTCTGGCCCTGCTCTCAAGGAGCTTTCAGTCACGCAGACCCTCGCCTCCCCAGGGGCAGGAGCCCGAGACAGCAGTCAAGCCCACCTGCTCGCCTGGAGCTCAGCGGGTGGAGATAAGCCCCCGTGCCCGCCCGTCACCACATCGCCCCAAGCTCATCCCTCTCCTCCCGCCACGCACCCACAGCCCATCAAGTCCTGACAACTTATCACTACACGTTCCTTTAATGATCTGACCTTCTGGTTTCAGGTGGTGCCTTCCCTGCCTGCGACTGGGAACGTTAAAAGAAACTGGAGTTGTTGTTCCCCATCTGCCGCTGCCATTGTTCCCCTCACAAAACCAGAGAGGCTGAGACCACATTAGAAGGCTGTTACCACTGGAAATTGAAAGCCCGCTTGGGATAAGTGACATTAAGAACAGGCACCAAGGGCAAAGCTGCGATTTCCAACTGACGTTAAGTAGGGGCTTATTTAGCCTCCAGCTCTGTTTGCCAGCGCCCACCGAACTCGAGAGTACTCCAGGGGGCAGTGGGAGCAGCTCCAGGGCCGGAGCCCACGTCCCCTCTCGCTCCCCCCACCCCCTGAGCCCTCAGGACCACCCGCCGGCTGCAGGAAGCCGACTCTGCCGGAAGGGCCCTGCGGGGTACAGAGCTGGACACTTAACCTCTCCTAGCCTGTGGCCTCGTCTGGAAAATGGGGGAAATAATCCCAACCATTTGGAGTTGTTGTGAGCACTGGAAAGACTATATTTAGTACCTAGTGTACACCAGGCACTCAAGGAATAGTGCCCATTATGACCACCGTCCTCATGGTTGAAAAGCTGCCTATTGCTATGCCCGAGGTCAGACCACCCGCCGCCACTGGGCTGAGCCCGCCACCTGCGCTGGCCCTGCCCCGCTTCTCCAGCCCCACCTGCCTCCCAAACTCCTCCTGAGTCCCAGCACCATGCCCTTCCTGTCACTGCTGGCCCAGCGGACAGTTTGGGCTGCCCTTCTCTTCCTTCTTAAATCCAAGGCCCCTCTCACACTTCCCAGCACCACGGAGATGCTACTGGCCATGGCCACAGACATCAGGGCTGCTGGGACCTCAGCATGCATCTTATCCTGCAGGGAGAGACGCTGGGGTCCAGGGAGGCCAGGCAGTGGCCATGATCACCCAGCTGGGGTAAAACCCAAGTCGGGTTCCTGGGCCAGTACCCTCGGTCCCCCTCCTGGAGGGCAGACCTACCACTTCCGGCCAAGGGCTTGGGCAGGTCCCTGGCTCTGGGACGGTTGAGGGCTAATGGAGATGAGAGATGAGGGCTGGAACACGCTCGGCGGCACGCAGCCTGAGCCACGCTCAGGACTCCGCAACCAGATCCGTCATAAGGTGGCGCGTCAGTGTTACTGTGAGGAATGAAGGCTGGAAAACTAACCAAGCCACAGGCAGTGGGGAGAGCCAGCCAGGCCACGCCCAGCGAGGACCTGTCCCTGGGAGCGTGGGATTAGCCTGGGGCCTGCCCAGCCCAGGTCCTCCAGGGGTGGGAACCAGGAGGGCCATGGGGGGAGAGGCTGCAGGGGTCCCTGGGCCAGGGATGCAGCAATTAGAGCTGTAAGGGTTGTGGGGGGGGATGCGGGAAGGGAGAGCTGGAAGCCCCAATCTCCCCTTTCCCCACCCCCACACTTGGAGCCTCCTATCTGCATCTCTTTTCTGTAGCCTTAATGAACAGAGACTAATTGGCAGAGAGAGGGGGAGGGCATCCTGGCACATGACTAAATGTCATGTGACCCCAGGCCAGCCACTTCCCCACGGTGAGATGCAGACACCCCTTTCCTAGGAGCTTCTCCGGTCTGCCAGGCGCCTTCCAGGCACCATCTCCCCATACGCTCACAAGATACCCTATGAATATCCCCATTTTCTGATGGAGAATCCAAGGCATGCAGAGGTGAAATCGTTTGCCCAAGATCTCGGAGCTGGCAAGTGGCAGAACCAGGAACTGAACCCACGCTGTCTGGCCCCATTTCACGCAGTGCTAAGATCCTGAAATGCAACAAGGAAAAGGCCCGTGGAACTCTAGGCCAAGTTACTGAGGAAGCCTGCCTTTCTCAGGCCGCACAGCATAGCAGTGGCCACACTGGGATGTAAACTGGGTCCCCAGATTCCCCAGGACCCCTGCCCTTCCAAGGGACAGAACTGCCCCCGCCCTCTCGGATCCCAGGCACCCCCAACTCCAGCCCTCTCTTTAATCTTTAGTGGATTATGATCTCAGCACGCTGGAGTCAGGGAGAGAGAAAGACGGAGAAAGAAAAAAAAAATTAAAAGAATAACATCCTTTGTGCATAAATGTTTTTAACGGTTCTGTTTCTAACGGGCCTATTTCTAACGGGCTTATATTGTTTTCCTCGGCACCAGGCACTGAAGATTAAAAAAAACTGGCAAAATAGAAGAAACAGATTATTCAAGCCCCAGGGGAATCCAGGCATTCAAATAAGATTTCAAATGACTCTCTTTCCATTAAAACTTTTGCTGCAGTGAAACCATGTGGAGATAAGGCAGCCGAGCGTCTTCACAGGCCGCCAAGAACAGAGATGCTCACATCTGTCGGCTCCTCTCCCACCAGCGCCAAGGCCCACTCGGCAAAGCACCTGGGCTTCAAACGGGAGATGCACCTGCCTTTAGCGGGTGTACAAACAGGGCTCGGGAGCTTGCCCTAGATGCACTGCTCCACAGGAAGGGGACAGATTGGAGTGGGTGGCCCGAGGCCCGGCAGGCAGGCCACCTTAACCTTTCCTCGGCTGGAATCTCCGAAGCCCTCTGCCAGGGCAGGGGCAGCCTCTACCTAAAACCCTTCCTCCACCCTCCACAGGCCTCCTGGTCGCCCAGAAACATCCAGCGGAGGCCTGTGCAATGTCAACGCCCGATCCAAGAAGGGGCTGGCTGAGCAGAAGGCTCTGATGCCGGCTCCTCCAAAGCCACAACCTCTTCCCCGTTTCCCTCCCCAGTCTCCACATGCCTCTCTCCGAGTAGCAGCCAGAATGATCCACTTAAATAGAAATCAGTTCACGCCGCTGTCCGGTTCTCTCAGCTCTGCAACCCACAGCCCCACGCGTCAAGAAACAGCTCCATGCACCTCACCCTGGCTTTCTGGAAAACCTGCTCCCCACTTCCACCTGTTTCCCCCCACACCCCACCATTCATCAACTCTGGCTACCTCAGGACCTTTGCACTTGCCGTTCCAAAGCCTGGATCGCTTTACCCAGACCTCTGCACAGCTTCAGACGTCACCTCCTCAGAGGCCCTCCTTGACAGCAGTCCCGGCCCCCAGGCTCGATGCCAGTCACACATCCAGCTCTACCCCCTCACAGCACCAACCCCTCCCTGTTGATTTGTTCCTCATGTAAATCTCTCCCTGCCCCTCATAAACTGTAAGTTCCTTGAGAACAGCGACCTTTCTGTTTTTGTCATTGTTCTTTTCCCCTATGCCTAAAATTACTGTAGAGACTCTATAAATAGTTTTTTTGTTTTGTTTTGTTTTTTTGCGGTACGCGGGCCTCTCACTGTTGCGGCCTCTCCCGTTGCGGAGCACAGGCTCCGGGCGCGCAGGCTCAGTGGCCATGGCTCACGGGCCCAGCCGCTCCGCGGCATGTGGGATCTTCCCGGGCCGGGGCACGAACCCGTGTCCCCTGCATCGGCAGGCGGACTCTCAACCACTGCGCCACCAGGGAAGCCCAATAAATAGTTTTTTAATTGATGAAAGCCATTGACGAAGGTCCTGACTCCTTTCCAGAAATGTTTTAAAATCTATCGGAAATACATATCTATCTAGATAAAGATCACACCAGAAATAAAAACAAACAAAACCCCAGAAATCACTGCTATTGACTGGAATCGGCAAATGGGAATTCTAGTAGGTCACAGCAAATAATGGTCCTGATCGGCAAGAAACTAGGCCTTTTGCCAATTCAAAAAAACACAAAGTAATTATAATTTAATGAATGTGGTTTGGCAGACAGAAGCTCACTAACTTGAGGAAGCAGAATGGACAGGGATTGAGAGTGGGCTCTGGGAGCCGACTGCCCAGGTTCTGAACTCCTCCCTGCTGTGTGACCTCAGGCAAGCCACTGCACCTCTCTGGGCCTCAGAATCCTCAGCTGTACAAAGGGATTCACAACAGACTTACCTCTTAGAGTTATTGTGAACGTGAAATGAAAGAGATGTGTGTAAAATGCTTAGAAAAATGCTTGCCACACAGGAAGCACTCTATAAATAGAAATACCCATTATTTATCTGTACTATTATTAGGGGGTGCATAGGAGAAAAGAATTATAAAGAGGTCTTTGCTTGAGAATCAGTTTAGTCTAACCTGCATCATTCTTTATGTAACAGTTTTATTGAGATATAATTCAGCTACCATAAAACCCACCCCTTTAAAGAGTACATCTCACTGGTTTCTAGTATATTCGCAGACTTGGGCAACCATCACCACTATCTAATCTGAGAACATTTTCATCACTCTCACCAAAAAAAAAAAACTTTAGTGGTGACTCTCCATTCCCTCCTCCTCCCAGGCCCCTGGCAACCACTAATTTACTTTCTGTCAACTCCCACCATTTTACAGATGGGGAAACTGAGGCTCAGAGAGGGGAAGTGACGTGTCCAAGGTCACAAAGCAGAGCCTCTGGCCCCAGTTGTTTCTCCGCTGCACCATCTCCCTCCACTCAGAAGCCTCCCTGCCCCCCAAGACTGGATGATGCCCTCTGACTCACATATACACTCCCCAGACCTCCCCTCTCCACACTCCTGACCCCCGGGGCTTTACTCACGGAGTCCGATCTTGGCCAAGTGCAACCTGTTGACCCAGGAGATCTTGCTCAGGGGGTTGGGGGTGATGAAGACCACCATGAAGCTGATGGGGCGGCCAGACCTGTGGTGAGAGGGCAGGAGCATGAGCGCTGGAACGGGGCCTGGCTCACCCGGGAGGTACGCAGCTCTTCCCCCCAACCACCAGCCCTGGAGATAGAGCGAGGTCTGTGCAGAGCATCAAAGCATGGCCAGAGAGGCCAGTGGCCTGGCAAAGCCTCAGTCCCCTGGGGGAGGACTCCCTCCACCCACCACAGCCCCGGGGAGGGGGCCGGTAACTCCCCCGAGCGACCAGGCCGCGGCCCCCAGTCCAGCCCAGGCACCCCGGCGTGGGTGCCTAGCAAGGCCACGGGGGGTCTGGCCCTCTGCAGGCTGTGACTCGAGAGGCCCTCCAGGGCACCACCTGGTCAGGGTTCCACAGGCCTCGTCAGACACCTGCACACGCCTGACCCGGAGCCTCTGACTCGGGCCTGTTCCCAGCACCTGGCACAGGGCACTTGCTTGGTAACTGCCTCCTGAACGGACACATGAATGAATGGAAAAATGAATGAATGGCGGTATGTACAGGCTTGGGGTGGCCAGAGGTCACTGTTGTCACCACACTGTCATCTCACCTTAGAGCAGCGGAAGCCCCTTCATTGTTCTCCGGGGCCCATTTCCCCGCTGTGAGCCAACCCAGCCCCCGGGAGGTGGACAGGAAGGTGAGGAAGGGGCGCAGAGAAGGGGAGAGAGCCGCTCAGCAGGACACTGTGAGCCACTGTGCGAGGGCACCCAGAAGGTTCCAGGCTGCTGACCCTCAGACTCCAGGCCTGGGCCTTGCATCCTGGCTCCCGGACCTGCCTCAGACCACAGCGCCCCAGTCTCCCCTTCCCTGCAGCCACTGTGCTTGTAACACTGTCCCCGCCCAACCGAGAGGTCAAAACCTGGGCTCTGAGCCCCTCACTGCGCCAGCCTAGGCTTCGGAGTCAGACTCCTCAGAACCCAGCTCTGCCACCTACTTCTGAGCCTCACCTTCCTCCTCTGTAGAGTGGGGATCAGACAGATCGCCTTCCCCACCTCTGCATCAATACCACAAACATCAGCTGTGGGTCGACTGAGCGTGAGCTCCTGCAGGAGCATTTGCGGGGAGGCTGGATCCATGAGAGGAGAGCCAGGGCCTGGCCCCAGGGGACTGCACAGTCTGCCAACCGCTGGCAGGGTGTCCCAGTAGCCTAACAGAGGACAGGCTCACCCCAGGTACAAATAGGTCGTTCGTTCATTCATTCATTCATTTGACCACGAGCACCTGCTCTGTGTCAAATGCTTTGCCGGGCGCGGCCCACGATGCGTGTACGCCCACGCCCACCCCCGCAGTGCTGGCAAGCAGGCTGGTCCCGACGCCCCTCTCCAAGGCCCCTCTTCCTCTCACTTGTCGGGTTTCCCGGGAAGCAGGAGCCTGAGGCGGCACTTGTTGGCCGAGTGGATCTCCTCCTCCTTCACCCGCATAAGCCTCTGCAGGGCCAGGCACCAGTCTTGAGCCACGGTCATGTTCAGGTTCTAGGGTCAAGGAGGCCAAGGAGGTCACCATACAGCCCTCTGGCTCCCCGAAAGCCGCCCCAGATCCCACAGCAGTCGGGGCCCCAAGGGGAGAGGAGCCGGGGGCTCAGTGCGGGAGCTCGACCTGGGCGGCTCACTCGGCCACAAGCGGTGGGGGGATGCCGACTCCCCGGGCTCCAGGCCCTGGTTCAGACCTTCCCCCCTCCATGGCACCCCTCCTTTGAGAGGGACACACCCTCCCAGCCAGCTTCCTCTCCAGCCTGGGACGAGGCTCGGGAAGGAGCTGCAGGACAGACCAGACACTGAGCAGAGAACGAAAAAAAAAAAAAAAAAGTGCCCATAGCCGGGCCCTGCTCAACTCGAACCAGAGCTTCAACCCGAACCGGAGGCCACCCACCAGACTTCCAGGTAGCGACAGGAGCTTCAGACAGTACTGCTGCTAGTGGGAGCCCAGAGGCCAGGGCACATCGGGGGACAGGGCGGGAGAGGAGCCCACCCACACTTTCCTGCCGAGGCCGGTGCTGGGTACCTGGTAGGTGCCATGCAGCGTGCTGACAAGGAAGGTGATCTGCTCCACCACAGCCAGGTCCTTCTGCAGGTCCTGCAGCTCCTGGAAGAGGCGCGGGGGCCCGAGGTACACCTTATCTGGGCAGAGAGAGACCCTACTCAGCCTCAGGGGTGGGGAAGGCACCACCAAGGGCCCAAGCAGGTACTCACTGCAAAAAAGAAGAGCTGTCGCCCTGGAGATGTGGCACTAGAGACACAGAAGGAAATGTACCAGGCTCTTGTCTACTAGCGGGGACAAATCCAATCACGGGTAAAGTCTAGCGCCTAGGATCTGGGCCCCTCTCAGTCTATACAAAGTGTCACAGGAGGCCAGAAGACTGAGAACCAACTGTGCCCATGAGAAGTGAGGAGACTTCACAGGCCCAGGAGAGCTGTGGGCACTGCCAAAAAAGGAAAACCGCAGGTGCAAAGGCACTGTGGCATAAGGAAGCCCAGGAACAGTAAGTTGTTCAAAGATGTACTAAGAACCTACTATATGGCAGGTTCTAGTCTACATGTTGGAGAGACAGCTGCAAATGAGACAGACAGGGTCCCTGTTCTTGTGGAGCTTATGACCTGGTCAGGGTCAGGGAGGAGTCAATTAACAACTGCAGATGGTGGGAGGTACTGGGGAGAAAGATATCGGGGTGATAGGACAGAGACGGGATGGGGGCTGAGGGTGCCCAGATCTCTGGTGATGCTACAAATGCAGTGTCGGGGACGTGGAGGGAGGGCAGCAAGAGACAGAGCGGGAGGGCCCAGCAGGACTGGATGGGGAGGTCCCTGAATGCCAGGCTAGGGAATTTGGGCTGTGTCCTCTACACCATGGTTACTCAAGCTGAGATCTTACAGAATCCCAGGGAGGGGCGGAGGCATGTAATTTGGATTTTCCTCGAGATGATTATCTAAAAATCAGGTGCACATCTTCAGTCACCTGGATACAATGACTTTAAAGCCACACATGCTGCTGCGTGGCATCAGGGCTTCCGTGGACTTTGGTGCCACGTGATGGTCGCCAGGTAATGAACACAGAGCGGGGTGGGCGTGGGCGGTAAGAGATACGCTCACACCAAACGAAGGGCAAAGAAGGGCTCTGCAGCGCCCCAAATGGGGTGAGCTGGTGGGAAATGGAGATCACCGTGAGGCACTCTGGGGCACAGGTGCAGAGAACTCAAAAGAACCTGCCCCATAAGAGGACCACGTCTATGTTGAGAGCAATTTGGTGCCAGCAAAACAACATCATCCATCACATTAAATTAATGCTGTTACTTGAGTTTTATTATTTTGTAGCATCATTTTTATTCCACTTGTGATTCTGTTTTGGTTTTATGGTTGTTCAAGGGATATAAGCATAAGGAGTTTATTACACCTAGTCTTATACTTGCACATATTTGAATAACAATATAATAAAAAACCATTCAAGGCCAACTGGGGTTCAACAAGGATTTCTTTTTTCCTCTTTCAAGGGGGTCTGGCAGCCTAGTACTCTGCTTTGAGAAATGTGGCCACAGATACAACAGTGGCTGAAGGAGCACTGCCAGAGCAAGAGTCCGAAGGGTGGGGGGAGAGTGGAGTGGAGCCAGGGCTAAAGGCACCTCTGAGGGGGGCAGATGGGCCAGGAGCCCCTCCCAGGGGGCTTCTGTGAACAGAGAGCCATGAACACAAGACAGCCTCCCATGCCTCCCAGGCCTGGGGAGGGGGACACAGCAGCTGAAGTGGGCGCAGCCTTCTGAGGACGAGAGTGTGTGGTGAGTCCCTCCCTCAGAGCCACCTCCCAGGTCAGGGATGGACCGAGCTGGCCAGTGGGGAGGGGTGACAGCCAAGTGCCTTCCTGCTGGCCATGCAGTTACGTCCTTCGTTCATTCAACAAATGTCTATTAACACCCACCACATACCAGGCTCTGGAGGGCTACAGTCACACCAAGGGAAAAGACAAGATGGAAACCAGACCATCACCATAGAGGTGAAAACATACCCGGGCCTTGGGAGCACTGGACGGGGACCTGGCAAGTCCAAAGGAATCAGGAAGGGCTTCTCTAAGGAAGTGTCACCTGAGCTAAGATGAGTAGGGGCAGATAGACAAAAACAGGATGGCAGGAGAACACTCTGGAGAAGGGCAGAGGCCGGGAGAACGCCCTGGGGCAGGAGGGGGCTCAACCCCCCAGGAATGGAGAGGTCAGGGCAGCCAAGCCCAGGGAGTGAAGGAGCGGGGAGGGCTGAGGTGGGGCGGCAGGTGGGCCCCCAGGACGGGAGTGTGAGCCCGGGCGAGAACCTGGGACTTCACCCTGAGAGCAGTGGGAAGCCACCGGCGGATTTCAGGTGGAGGGTGACACACAGCTCTGATACGCATTTTGAAAAGTCGGCCTGGGGAGGGTAGAGGATGGGACGGGACAGGACAGGAAGGGGCAAAGGGGAGGGAAGGGCAGCACCAGGAAGTTCCTGCCACAGCACCGCGGAGATGGAGAGGACGGGGCGCACGGGGGAGCCTGCCACCCCGAGTTCTCACTGTCCTTGTTGTCCAACAGTCTGAGGGGATAGCACAGGGGAAAGAGGATCCAGGCAGAGCCAGGCAGCCCCGAGCCTGGGCCCTGAGGGTTTCAGGGACAGGGTGAGTGTCACCGGGGCCCCTCACTGTATAGACGGGCGAACTGAGGTCCCACATGGAGGCAAGCAATGGCCAGGCAGGCACTGGAGGTCACCCTTTCTGATCCAAGGTCACTGCGTGTGCACGCATGCGTGTGCACGTGTGTGCACGTGTGTGTGTGCACGCTCGCCAGGGTGTACAGGACTGGGGTGGGCAGGGGCTGGGAGGTGTGACTGCATGCAGCATGCATTTGCACACTCATGTAGGGATGTGGGTGTGTGTTTGTGTACAGTTATGCACAGCAGGAAAAGTCTCCGGGCCAAGTGCCCGCGGGCCTGGGGGCCGAGCCCAGGCAGATGCTCCCAGGGCAGTGTCGGGCAGGTACTCACTCTGGGCCTGGCCCGCAGCCGAGGCCTTCTTGGCGCCGGCGTGCTGGATGAGTACGTTGTCCTTGTCATAGGAGCTGCCCTCCTGGCCCACCTCCATCACCTGCACCTGGGGCAGCGCCGTGTTCCACTTCACCACATACTTGGGCCCCAGGGGCACCAGGCTGCTGATCTCCAGCTGGCCCCTGCCAGGAAGAGAGGACACGGCCCTGGAGAGCCCGCAGCACCCAGCCCCAGGGCCAGCCAGAGCCGCTCCTCAGCAGGTCAGCTCAGCCAGGCACCTCACAGCCCAAGCACAAGCCCTCAGGCCAAAACCAAGCCAGGCGGAGCAGGGAATGGAGGAAGGGGCAGAAGCATCAGGGCGTCCAGGCCCCAGCCCCATATCCAGAATCACACGCCCACCCCAAGCCTTGGCGCCCCTACCTGTGGTTGGCAGGCCTGAGGAAAAAGACAAGAAGGGTCGTTATCGTTACGGAGTGGTTTCCGTAAAAACCACTGCAGCCGCTGAGACCCCCCTGGGGGTCGGCCACTGGGCTGGGCCAGGTGTGGGCAGAGCGGACCACACGGAGGGCCTTCTCCCTGGACTGGGCACTGGCCTTCCATCACCTGTTCCCACAGTGGCCCTGCTAGGAAGCCTGTACTATTCCAGAAAAGGATACTGATGCTCAGACAGGTCACGTGACTCACTCCAAGTCACCCAAGATGACCCCCCAAAAGTGGGCCACTAACACCCTCATCACACTTTCATGCCATGCTAGGCTCCAAGCAACAGGAGGGCAGAGAGGGTGTAGGTCAGATCCCTGGCACCTGCACAGAGCCCAGGATATAAACGGGACTTAAAAATTATAGGGCTTGGGCTTCCCTGGTGGCGCAGTGGTTGAGAGTCCGCCTGCCGATGCGGGGGACACGGGTTCGTGCCCCGGTCCGGGAAGATCCCACATGCCGCAGAGCGGCTGGGCCCGTGAGCCATGGCCGCTGAGCCTGCGCGTCCGGAGCCTGTGCTCCGCAACAGGAGAGGCCACAGCGGTGAGAGGCCCGCGTACCACAAAAAAAAAAAAAAAAAATTATAGTGCTTGAATGAGGGAGGGAGTGAATGAACGAACGAATGAATGAGTCAGCCATCAGCACCGCTGCACTGATCTGGGACAGAGGCTTCCTTGCCCAAGACCCCTACCAGGGCCGGATCCTGTCCAGACCTGTGAACTGACACCAAGTAAGAGTTCAATAAACATTTGATGGATTAACAGACTGAAGGATGAGTGGGTGGAGGCTGTGTGTGAGCCCCCAGATAGCCCTGCTTGCTCCCCACCTTCCAGGACACGTGATCCGCAACCACGGATAATCCCCAAATCTGCTCCGTGGCCATGCACAGGAAGGCACAGCCGACTCTGGGTGCAGAATCTAAACCAGTCTCCTCGGGCGCCCCCCGCCCCACATGTGCTCCAGCCAGGCGGCGGGAGGCCCAGGCTGGGGTTAGCGCCCATCTACGGGTGACTGCTTTCCCTCGTGGGTCTGGGGTGTTGCTGCCATCTGCTGTTTCTGTGGTTTTTGAAACTGCTGCCGAATATCGAGAACCGAGATTCTCCTCCACTCGAGTGGATACGAGTATGGCTGGAAAGGTCGCAGCTGGCCTTCATCTGGTAAAGGGTCACAATCCCTGACGCCCACAGGACCAAGCAGTGGATGCGAGTGACCCGGGCCAGGTGGGAGCCCCAGTAAAGCGTTCACGCGACCCAGCTGCAGGCCCGTGTGGCCCCAGGCACTGTGGGCGCAGAACGCGAGATCTTCACGTTTCTAAGAGAAGCCAGATGTCTCAACCTTTGTGTGAACTCCCCGTAGGAGCCAAACACAGGATTTCCAGAGGCTTAGTGCAACCCACGGGCCGTGAGTTTGCAGACTCTGGTCTAAAGAATCACCCTCTCCCCACTGCAGGGCTCCAACTCCAATCCCGACTCCAGGCAACACCTGGCAGCCTGCCTCTGGGCATTTCTACAACCTCTGACCCAGAACCGGGAAACCAGGCTCCTGCAGGGAGTTGGGGGAAAGGCAAAGACTCATGTTGAGAAACACTCAGATCCGGCCGGAGGAAAATCTATTTGACTTAAAGCAGCAGGGATTTGGGATCTGGGCTGGGAACAGGGAAGAATCTCTTGAATTTCAAAGTGGTCAAAACTCAGCAGACTGTTCAGTTCCGACGGCAGAGTTCCAGAACAGTCCACCCTGTGCAACAGACAGCTGTTTGCCCTCAGTGACCTCTGCAGGTGCTTCCTAGCTCTGGGGACCAGGGACAGAGCAGTCACAAAGGGATAGAAGAGGAAGTCGGGACGTTGGAGGCCTCCGATGAGCTCACGCAGGACCCCAGCTATGACGGACTGGGACATGACAGGAGGGGTCCCCAGGGAGGGGCAACAGCCAGGCCTGCTTACTTGAAGTTGATGTTGGCGCAGACCAGCATGTCGCTGAGCAGGAAGACCCTGCGCTCCTTGGACTTGATCAGCTGCCCGCGGTCACCGTACACGGTCTCCGTCAGCGTCTCACACAGGAGCAGCTGACGCTGGCCTGAGGTCAAAAGCTGGGGGGAGGGGACAGAGCAAGGTCAACACCAACATCGTACACGGGCTGCTCCACAGACATCGCTGTGCCAAAGACCCAGGATTCTCCCTCCACATATAAAGGGGACCACAGCTGGGGGAGGTGGAGGATGAGGCAGGGCCACGCCCTCCATCCCCGGGGGACAGGAGGCACTGACCACCCACCGGCCCCAGCAGCCAGCACCCCTGCTCAGGTGAGCCAGCCACTGCCAGCGGCACAGCTCCAGAGCCGCAGACCCGTGCTCTGACCTTGGTTCCCGGAGCGCCCGCTGTGAAGCCCTCTGGCAGGCGCCATGTCACCTCTCCACACCTCAGCTTTCTCAGCTGTCAAGTGGGCGATACCTCTACGAGCTCACATCACCAAGGCAACAACGTGTGACCGGACCTGGCTACATGATCCGCAGAGCCCAGCAGAGGAGGAAAACCCGGTGCTCGCTCAGAATTATTAAGAATTTCGAGGGCTTCCCTGGTGGCGCAGTGGTTGAGAGTCCGCCTGCCGATGCAGGGGACACGGGTTCGTGCCCCGGTCCGGGAAGATCCCACATGCCGCGGAGCGGCTGGGCCCGTGAGCCATGGCCGCTGAGCCTGTGCGTCCGGAGCCTGTGCTCCGCAACGGGAGAGGCCACAACAGTGAGGCCCGCGTACCGCAAAAAAAAAAAGAATTTCAAGATGGCAATGGCAGAGCATTAAGCCAAACGTGGGGCCCTTCTGAGTGCCCACCCTGGTGACGGCACAGGCCACACACCCAAGTAGCCGGCCCTGCGACGGGACACCCCGCAGATGGCCACTGTCCCCACTGCTGCCACTGTTCGTGTGGCCTCAAGCAGGGAGACTCCTGGCCTGAAAGTAGGTCCCATTCGTCACCCTGACCTATTGAACAACCTCAGCTACTGGCCTCGTGGAAGGCCTCGTGTGGGGCTGGGACAGATCTGCTGGTCGACAAGGCAACCCTCTGACAAGGCTGAAGGCCTTCAAGCCTCCAGCGTCCGAACAGGCGTCTGCCCATCTCGGGCTGGATTCCAAGAATGCTGCCAGCCCCGGACCACCATCAGACCCAGAGACCCGCTGGGAAATCGTCTCTTTACTAACTAAGGATTTTGCTGAGGAGTAAAAGGAGTGTTCAGCAAAATTCCTTCCCAAAGCCCGTGATTCTGATGACAACAGCTAGCGCCCCTCCGCCCCATCCTCACAAGGGAAAGGGCGGGTCATCCCCAAACCTCTCCTGGACAGAATGCCCTTCTGTTCTGTGAAGAGCGGTGTCTCTCCAGGCGACACGAAAGCCCGAGTGACACCACATGCCACTAAAGAGTCCACGTCTCATTTAATCGCCTCAAGAACGCTGAGGCCTCCCCACTCTTGGACAAGGGGATGGAGATTCCAGAGGTAAAGAGACTTGCTGAGACCCAGTGCCGGTTGAGCGGCAGGGCAGGACAGAGCCAGGCCACACACGCTGTTCCCAGCACCGGGCAGCCAGCCACACGCCCTCTGGCTCCTGACTGGGGGTTAGAGGAGTCAGAGAAAGCCCACTGCTCCCAACACACACAAAAAGTCTCAGGGTGCCCCAGGGATACCCCCATGACTGCTAAGACTGGGCTCCCCCAGCCCACAGCTTCCACCAGCAAGCTGACTGCCAGCTCGTGTAGACACAGCTGGGACTCTGAAGACAGCAGGCCCCTCAGAAGACGGCCAAGTGTGCCGTGACCCTTTTCCTCAGGAGAGAGGAAAGTCCCCTGGCTTCCGACAACCATCCTCCTGCCACTTAAGCAGATTAAAAAGAAGAAAGACAAAAGAAAACTCGGATATTGCACAAGCAGCCCCCTGCAGTCGTGTCCTGAGCAGGCACATTTTGAAACAGCCGACACCGTTCCACTTCGGGCACACCCAGTTTCATTTCCACTTCTCTCTGGGTGATGGGTGGCAATAGGGAAATCACTGCACTGGCCTCAGAACTGGCCGAGACTGCCCCAGGGGGGCCCTGGCAGGGGAAGGCGTGGTGTGCGGCCACCATCACTCTCTCCACGACACCATCCCACACGCATCCGACACACCCACTTGACAGGTGGGGAAACTGAGGCTTGGGGCTGTCAGTTCCTCGCCCAACACCCAACAGGTCCCCCTGACCTCCAGCCAGTGACCACTGCTCCTCACAGCCCAGGTCCCCCCCAGCGGACAGAGCAGAAGGGAACAGACAGCTCTTCCCAGAGCAAGTGCTAAGGAGAAGGGTTTCCTTCTCCCGAGTGATCTCACAAGTGTGTGAGCCAAAGCGAGAAAAACCCTCTTGGTTACAGGAAAGGAGCTAAAGACAGAAGAAGATACTTCTCAAGTGCAAAGACCATCAAACACCAGCACGGTGGCCATGGCTGGGCTAAGGTCTTTTTAACCCGAGAGACATTTCAAAATAGAAGGTTTGGGACTTCCCTGGTGGTCCACTGGCTAAGAATCCGCGCTCCCAACACAGGGGGCCCGGGTTCGATCCCTGGTCGGGGAGCTGGATGCCGCAACTAAGAGTCTGTATGCCGCAACTAAAGATCCCGCGTGCCACAACTAAGACGCCGCATGCCACAACTAAGACCCGGCGCAGCCAAATAAACAAATAATTTTTTTAAAAAAAATAGAAGGCTTGTGTGGAACTGGCTGGGGAAGTCCTGCCTGGAGGCGGGGAAGGGGGATGACCTCCACCCATCAGGCCCACTCTGAGCAATCCTGGATGGGGATACACCCCGGGGAGGGGGCTCCATCCCCTGCCTCATCTTTTCTTCCCAGCTCTATACTCCTGGAACAGGCAAAGCAAACCCAGGTGCCTGCAGGGCCAGAAGTAACCTCAGTGGGAAGACCTGGATGTGGACTGAGGGGGCAAGGGCAGCCGCTACTCAGGTGACTGGTGCCACATAGGAGGGTGGGCCGGAGTGCCAGCTCTTCCAACCCTTAAGAAGATACATGAGTCTAAATGTTGTGGGACATTTCTCCATTTCTAAATGTTGGCAATTAATTCCATTTTCCTAAAAATACTGTGTGGGCCTAAATACACATGTGCAGCCTGAATTTGGCCTGAGGTGGGACAGTCTTAAGATGCAGGACCCTGAAGCTTAGAATTGCAAGGGACCCTGCAAGTTCACTTGTCCGGGCCTTGTTTTGTAGGCCTGTGGTGAAAATCAAACATGACAATGCAGTTAGTAAGTATCATGTACTGTAAAGGGCGGGGCCACGTGGGAAGCGCTGTGGTGCTCCTGGTGACACTCCCCAAACATTAGAAAGTTCCACCCCGTGTGGCTGAAATCTCATCAGCCTTAGTCACTGGCCTTAGTTCTGCTTTTGGGGCCACAGAGCCAGGAGGCTCCCAGTTTTCCCCCAAATACCTGAACACCTCCCTGTGACTCCACAGGATGTCCCTTCCCCAAAGAACAACGCTTGTCCTCGCCAAGTGCCCTGGGGTGGGGGTCACCTCACCCCGAACCATCGGGGCCAAACCCCACACTCTGGTGGGTGAAAGAAGGCGGGGCCCGGGGCCTCCCAGATGTGGGTGCAGCTGCAAGCGGCTCATGTCACAAGCCACTAGGGAAACAGAGGACTAAAGTTCACCAAAGGGACCTCCCTGGTGGCGCAGTGGTTAAGAATCCGCCTGCCAAGCAGAGGACATGGGTTTGAGCCCTGCTCTGGGAAGATCCCACATGCCGCGGAGCAACTAAGCCCATGTGCCACAACTACTGAGCCTGAGCTCTAGAGCCCACTAGCCACAACTACTGAACCCGCGTGCCACAACTACTGAAGCCCGCACGCCTAGAGCCCATACTCCGCAACAAGAGAAGCCACCGCAATGAGAAGCCCGTGCACTGCAATGAAGAGTAGCCCCTGTTCGCCACAACTAGAGAAAGCCCGCGCACAGCAACGAAGACCCAACGCAGCCAAATAAATAAACAAATAAAATTTAAAAAATAAAGTTCACCAACAGGTGACTCTGGGAGGTGACTAATTTTTTTGTACCAACTTTGTGTTTTAAAAACAGAGTTCCCAAGCTTCCCTGGTGGCACAGTGGTTGAGAGTCCGCCTGCCGATGCAGGGGACACGGGTTCGTGCCCCGGTCTGGGAAGATCCCACATGCTGCGGAGCGGCTCGGCCCGTGAGCCATGGCCGCTGAGCCTGCGCGTCTGGAGCCTGTGCTCCGCAACGGGAGAGGCCACAGCAGTGAGAGGCCCGTGTACCGCAAAAAAATAAAATAAAATAAAATAAAAACAGAGTTCCCTAATAGACCCATTTGAAAGTTTTTCAAGATTTTTTTTCTTGCTAGAATGTTCCTAAGTTGCAATCCCAAAACATGGCGTGGATTTTTCTTTTTGCTTCTTAAAAAATAACACTAATAATGACAGCTGCCACCTTGTATTAAGGGCTCTGGGTCTGCCAGTTTGCCAACTCACTCATTTGCCTCGCAGAAGCCCTGAGGGTCAGGCGCCATCGAGCTCTTCTCATTACAGAGGAAGCAACTGAGGTTCAGAGAGGTTGGGTGATTCCCCTGAGGCCACACAGTAAGCACCAGTGGCAAAATCGGGATTCAAACCCAGACTCTGACTCCACGGCCCACTAGTTTAAGCACAGCACTAGGCTATCATTTCTGGCACCTTTACTGGCGATCACACCTGCTGAATTAAATCAGCTGGTATCCTAAAATCACATGAGTAGTAACGAATGTGGAGGTCTAGTCAAGATTAATCCTTAAGGTAAGGTCTGCGGGCTCAGAGAGAAGCAAAGAATCTCCTCCCTCGGAGAACACTGCCACCTGGTGGGTGCCACAGGGCAGGAGGCAGAGCGACAGGCGAGGCCGGCTGCAGGGCAGGTACGCACGCACCTTGTTGAGGCTGCTGCGGTCACTGACGCTCTTGGTCAGCTGCTGGATCTCGGCCACCTGGTCGGCCAGCCGCTTCTGCTCGTTCAGCTTCTCGGCCAGCGTCTCCAGCTCCGTGAGCGCCAGCTGCAGCGAGAGCCTGTCCGGGTGGCCCCTGGGGGTGTTCTTCAGCATGTCCTGCCGGGGCCCAGAGGGAGCCACGACTGAGACCCCCACCCCAGCAGACCCTCCCCTGGCTGGGGTCACAGCCTCCGCCTCCACACTCGGGCCTGAGAAGGGCCCAGCTTGTAGCCAGGACAGGCGGGGCCTGACATAGAGCAAGGCCTCAAGAAGCAGCTGGTGAATGAAAAACTAAAATAAAACAGCTGTGCGGACCGATCCCTGATCCACTGGTGAACTTTACACTGAGACGAGACCCACTCCTGCTGCTGGTCGCTCTGAGAACAGAGAGGAAGCCCAGCTGGGGCCCTTGGGCTGGCAGCCAGCCTTCCCCCCAGGGGGACTCACCCCCTGTGAGGACCCCCGGCAACCAGGGGAGGTGCCTCAAGCTCTCGGGGCCCAGCATGGAGGCTAACGCTCCCTCGGGAAGCCTGAAGTGCCAAGATCAGAGCATCCACGGGGCATCTCCTCACTGCCAGGGGCCCCACGGTCGCCCGGATTCCACGTGCCTTCCCACAACCTGGGCTAACGTCACCACCGGTCACCAGGTTCCCACCAGGGGAGGCGAAAGTAAGCTCGATGGGCTCCACCCTAGGAGTGGGGAAAGAGGAGGCCGGGGGGCCAAGGCCCTGCCCACCGTGCACAGATGCGTGGGTTGTGGGTGACGGATGAGAAGCCAGGCCTCCTGCCCCAACCCCATGAGGCTCGCACCATCCCACGCCCCACCCTGCAGGTTGGTGGCCGCCGGAATCCCCCGTGGTACCTGAAGCAGGAGGATGAACTGAGGGAACCTCTGGATGGGCTTCACCATCAGCCCGTAGAGCGTGACGCGGTCGGGGCTACACACCTGCCGCCGCTGTTGGAGATGAGGGGGGATAATTCACTGAGCCTCCGCAGCAAGGGCCCAGCACCCGGGGTACAGATGCGGCCAATCCCGGGCTCCCCTCCCCGGACCCAGGACCCTGCTCAGCCTTGGGCCCAAGAGAAGAGCCCAGGAGGTCCCTGGTTCCACAGTCAGGGGTCCCTGCCACCACAGGGCTCCCCGGTACAGCCCCTCACCCTGGAAAGCCTAGAGCATCACGTTAAAGTCTCTGGACTAAAAGCATAAGTAGGACATTTCAGCAATTTATCCAAGAAGTCAGGCTACTGAAAGTAGCCAAGACAACCATTCCCTCCACCTAAACTAAAGCGGACGGGCCTGGGCCGGGGTGAGGATTGGCAGGGGGACGGTTCTTACTGTCCTGTCTCTTGCTTCTGTTTCCACCTCTCCATCCACACACCTGTCACCTTGACCCAGGCCCTCAGCCCCTGCGACCCAGGCTGCCGCCACAGCTTCCCCACCGGCCTCTGCCTCCATCTGCCTCTACCCAAAACTTCAGTGGCTCCCCGCTGCCTGAAATACGACATCCTAGCCCCTGGGCCAGGAGGTCCAGATCCGCCCAAACTGAACTCCACTGCTCTGGGCCTCTCTCCCGGGCACCCAGTGCTCCCAGGATCCAACCAGACTTGCCTCTGACCTTTGCCCCATCACCCTTGCACCTGGAACACCCTCTTCTCCATCTCTCCATTTCAACCCCACTGACCGCCCCCAGGACCCATGTCAGATGGCACCCCATTGAGAAAGCCCCCTGATCCTCTGGGATCCGGGCTGTAGGCTCCTCGGCTGAGGCCGGGGGCCCTAGCCCACCTGCGCCCTCTGCTGGGTGGCACGTCTCTGACTCACCTAAGTGTGCGCCTAGGAAATGGGGATTGGGGACCTGGTCCCACAGCTACTTGAGGCCTATAGTCCTTTAAACTCTATTCTCGCACGTGATCCCCAAAGCACCGCTTTAAGAAAAGGGATCATCCCGGCCACAACCTGAGCCACACCAAGCCCAGCCGCCATCTGCAGATGTCACAGGCCTGCGCTTCCACCTGTCAGAACTCCAGGATCCCAAGCGGCTTACAGAAACTTTAACTCTTCTTCACCCTCCCCTTGGCAGAGTGGGGAAAGGAGAGGCAGATTTTCTTCCCGTGGGCCTGGGGATGGCCCAAAGGAAAGAAGAAAGGCGTCTGGGCCAAAGAAGTGATGCTGCAGCGATCCCTCCCTCCTGAGACACCTCCCTGCCCGCCCCCCCCCACCGACGGCCGGGCCTCCATTGAGAGGGGCCCCGGACCACCCTCAGGCCCACCTTGAGGAACTCGAGGAAGGCGGGCTTGGTGAGACAGGCCTTCTTGATGATGGACATGGCATTGGTAAAGTTGTTCACGTAGTCACTGTACACGTCTAGCACCACGGACTTGGAGAACTGAAACAGGTGTGGGCGCGGCCCGGGAGGGTCACATCCATGCGAGGGGGAGGGCGACCAGCACCCCACCCTCACCGGCGACCACAGTCCTCCTCTGCTGGAGGGTCTCAGCTAGCCTTGAGGTGAGGAAACCTGTCACCCGGTGAGGGGAGGGGACAGGGCTCAGAGAGGCGAAGAGACACCAAGGTCACAGGGAGGAAGAGGTGGTGCTAAGGAGAGCCCGGGGACGTCCCTCGTCCCGCAGCACGGCAGCCTGGCCCACAGGCGAAGGGGGGCATGGCGGCCCTTTGCTACGCCCCCCAGCTCCCCACCCTCAAGGATGGTGCTCCTGACCTGAGCCCCATGGACACACCGACCAGGGTGCTGGGTTTTTTGTCTTTTAGCAGAACCCAGTTGCCTACAACATATTGAAGCAGTTTCCACCGATCTGACCATCTCTCACCCCATGAATCTCTCTGGGGCCCACAGACTTCAGTGTCAAAAACCATGAGTCCAGCACACCCCCTTCTTCCACAGATGGGGACCTGAGCCCCGAGAGGGCCCTGGAGCTGCCCATGTTTGCACAGCTGAGCTGGGACCAGGCCAGGTCTCCGGGAGCACGACCCAGTGGCCTGGCCCCGACACCCTGCAGCATCCTCTGGGGCCAAGGCCATGCTCTGTGTGAGCGTCGCACAGTGGTCCCTCTGCGAGCACTCCGCAGGGGGCACTTGAGATCAGCCAGGTGGCTGCCCACAGTGGCCAGTCTCCTAGAGGCACTGCCACCTAGGCGGAGCCAGAACAGTGAGCGGGCGGCACGCAGGCGGACATCTCCGAGGACACGCTGCAAGGTGTCACGCCCACCCCCGCGTAGGCCAGGCCGACTCAGGCCCTGCCACCCTCTGACCCCGCTGTCTGGGACGAGGCGACCAGGTGGAGGCAGGAGGCTGGCCCGGAGAACATCCAAATCACGGCCGCGGTTGGCACCTTGGCAGGCTGGGGAGAGTCTGGGGACACCTACCGAAGCCACGAAGAGGTCCCCAATCTTCTCGGTGGAGTCCCACTCGGCCACGCGGGAGGACAGGGCGATCTGGAACATGGAGTGGCAGTGCAGGATCTCCTTCACGCGAAAAAACACCACCTGGCACTTGCGGGCACTCAGCGCCTTGGGCTCCATCTCCATCAGGGGGTTGCGGTAATCCTGAGGGGGGGGGGGCGCGGGCAGGGTGAGTGCCCCGAGGCCAGGCCACAGCCCCTGCCCCCACTGCCCTCATGGCCACCTGGACCGGGCCAAGCAGAACTCGGCAGACCTTCCTGCGGGAGAAGCACCCACCCCTCACTCTTCACCTGTCCTTCTGGAAGGATCTCCATGATCGTAACACTCCTGACCCTTCTGCCCATCCATAACCCACCCCCGTGACTTATGTGTTAAGCTGGGTTTTCGGGCAGACCCCTGCCTGCAAGGAGCTCCACGGAGGCAGTCCCCAGGGGCCGGCCCAGATCAGCTTTGCCCACAAGTGAGCCAGTCTGTCTAACAGAGCAGTGGCAGTGATGTCACAGCAAGACCTAGAGCCACACTCTCCAACCAGCTTTGTCAGAAACACGGGATATTTTTGTCTCCACCTGCCTGAGGTCTGGGCTCCTCCACTGTGGATCCAAACTCAGGAGGGGAAATGAGGTTGTTACTAGCACCCTCCCACCCCTACAATTCCCCTCCCTGTTGTCCTCCCCAAGAGCCCACAACATCCCAGAAGGTTCACCTTTTCAGGAATGCAAACTACAGACCAGGCCAGCACACCTTAGTCACGTAAGCATCTACTTAGCAATTCCTGTGCATCCAGATCACAGGGGAGAGGGCACCCCCAGGGAGCTCCAAGATGACGGGGAGACATCAGCCCCTGCCCCAGGGGCTCCCAGAGTGGCGAGGGAGGCACAAGAGGCACCACATGCCCTCAAGTCCATAGGATACAGCTCATTTTATTGAACCCCGACATGGTTTCAGAAAATGCAGTCATCCTGTGAATACCAAGGCATCTGGAATTCTTGGTGTCCCCCATTTGGAGGTCCTGCTGTTTCCATAAAAGCCCTGGCCTTTGGCTCCTTCCCCTTAAAAATGCCCACAGTCCCCAAACGCTCCTTGTAAAATGTCCCTCCGGGGTCTCCCCTGCCCTCTCCCCAGACCCCCCGGAGTCCTACCTGGAGTACCCGTTTCAGAGACTCCACATAGCTGCCTTCGCTCTGCACGATGGAGCCCAGGATGTGCCTCCGGACCACCTGCTCGGACAGAAAGCACAGTCAGCACCTGTGCCAACCATGGCACAGAGCGAGCTCCGGCTGTGTGCGGAGCCCCGGGTGATGGGACGAGGAGTCATGACGCCCAGTGGAGCTGCCGGCCGCGGGACAGAAGGAACTCGTCTTTCCCAGAGCTGCTCCTGGACCACTGGGGCCTGGCAGGCCAGCATTCCCTTCCAGAGGCCCTGCCAACCCCAGACAAATGCCCGTGCTCCCCAGACTGCAGCATGGGGGCAGGGGACGCTGGGACTCGAGTCCCCTGCCTGGTCTCTGCTCCCACACATCCAGGGATGGGAAACCACCACTCTCCTCCATGGGGACGGGCGGCCTCCTCCATCTTTGGACAACTTTAGTAGAAAATTCTTTCTTAGATGAAATTGAAGTCTCAGCTCCCGACACTTACAGACCCGATCCTTAACCAGTCTCTCTCCCGTCCCCGCCAGGTGGGCTCTACTTCAAGCTAAACGTCCCAGCCCCTTATCCTTCCCTCTTGCCCTCCCTGTCTCTCCTCAGCTATAATTAGTGCATCTCTCAGGTGCAGACCGACCAGCACCCAGTCAAGAAGCCCTCACCTGGATACAGCAGCATGCGGGCTGGGGGGGGGGGGGGCGGGACTCACTGGAATCATGTGGCTCCCACCCCAGACATTCTGAAGGAATTGCTATGGGGTGCAACCTCGGTAACAGTGTTTTTTAAAGCTTCCCGGGTGATTCTAGCGTGCAGCAAAGCTGGGACAGAGCTCATGAAAGGTATCGCACATGAGAGGTGTCCGAGGGGGGAGCCTATCCACCTTGGCCCAGAGCTGGGAGGGTGACTGATCCCCACTGTGCCCCCAAAGCCATCCTGAGAACATCGATCCAGGCGCCCACCACCATCTCCCCTGCTCCCCTCTGTTTCCTCCCTCCTGCCTCTGGCACATCTTTGCATCTCCTCCCACCACCCTGCCTGCGCCCAGGCCTGACCGTGGCCCCTGTCCTTCAAGCTGCCCCACAGCGGGATGCCTTGTCAACGATCCCCAGTTTCCCAGGTGTTCCCAGAGCAGCGTTCTCCACCTCAGCATGCTGATGCTCGGGGCCGTCCCGTGCACTGTAGGACGTGTAGCAGCGTCCCTGGCCCCTACCCACCAGATTCCAGTAGCACCCGACCCCCCGCAAGCTGTGACAACCAGAAGCATCACCAGACATTGCCAAATGTCCCCTGGGGGACAAAATAAACTTGGTTGAGAGCCACTGGCCTAGAGTAACTAACATTGCTGATCCAAGAAATGCAAAAGGCTCCCGAGGAGACAGACCCGACCGACATCAAAAAGGGGAACCCCGGATTATGAGCTGGAAACCCGGGGTCCTGCCTGGCTCTGAGCTCTGACGGCTCTGACAGTGACTCACTGCATAGGGGAGGGAGCAGGGGGGTCACCACCTCAGTGTTGCCAGGGGCCAGGCAGGAGAAAGAAGGAAGGAAGGAGGCGGATGGACTCCCAAGACGAGAGGTGTGGCCGTATCTCCGATTTTCAAAAGGGGCCCATCATCAGGATTTCCTGCCAACTCCAAACCAGCCAACCCCCTCATTGCATTTGCTTCCCCGACATGTCTTGCTCAGAGCCCTCATGACCAGAGGGAGGCAGGGGTCTCTCCCTCTGCCTCATGGCTAAGAAAACCCCAGCAGGGAAAAATTCAAACCTGACTCTGCCGAGGAAGGTCCCAGAGCACAGCCACCCCGATCTCAATGTGACACTTCTGGAGAAGGAAGACATCGCCCGAAGAGCCCCGCTCCTGGGATGCCTGCGGTGACTCTGGGGTCTGAACTGATGACAGGTGGGTGGATTGGGGGAGGGGGGCCGGGCACCTCCAGGGTTCCTCCCTGAACTGTATTAGCTCGATGCTTCCCAGAAAGGGACTGCGGGCCCTTTGTTCAAACACCTTCATTTGACCCAGTTACACAGGAGCTACTCTGGCTGCCGCAGGGCTGGGAAGCAAGACCTCCACATGCAGCCCCACCGCCACCCAGGATGATGGCATGGAACCTGCAGGGTCCAATTTGGAAAGTCTGTGCAGCAGGTCGAGAAGAGACCCCAGAAGGTCCCCCACCCAGCTGGGGCTCTGTCAAGGGCCCCCTGATCATCAACTCCCCTTCCAGACCCAGACCTGCATGGTCCCAGGTAGGAGGCTGGGGTCCCCACCATCCCTCCCCCTGAAGACACCCTCCCACAAACCTGCTGTGGGCTCAGGCCGTCTGGCATGGGGCCCAGCTCCGGGGCTGGGGGCTTGATGTCCGTAACGCTGACCTCCAGGAGCCCCATGTCCTCCTCCTCCGAGTCACCTGGAAAGTGAGATGGGCTGGTGACACATGCAAGGCAAGGATGACACACCTGCTCAAACTCCAGGAGCTGGAAACCACCCTCCCCCCCACAGACCGGGGTCCTGGGATAACGGCTCCTGGGGCCACAGAGGATTAGGGCCTACTCACTGGCCTCCTGGCTATACTCTGCTAGAACAGTCCACCCGGAAATAGAAGTGAGGGAGGGATGGAGCAAGGGAGTAGGAAGCAACACGCAGCAGGGGCTCGGCTCTCAGAATCCACCCTGCCAGGAGTCTCTGTCCCCGCTCAGACCCGCCCGCTTCTGGGCTGGCAAAGGCCAGGCCGCCCATGTCCCCATCACTAGACACTAAAAATAGTTTTCTTCTGGTTGCCAAAAAGGGGGAAGAAAGTTAACCCCGAGAAGAGCAGGGCTGTTTGGCTTTGTGTTTTCATCTTTCAAAAAAAGAGACCCAATGGGGAAAAAGTCCAGCTGCTGTCCAATAGGGGAACGCAGACATGAGTCGGGGTAGACCTCAGAGGACAGATCGAGACAGACAGAGGCCGGGGTGGAGAGAGCGGAGGTCAGGCGGAGCGCAGTAACCCGGCCTCGCAGGGCTCCCGCCCCACGAGCTCCAGGCACAGGCACAGGGAGACGGGACCCCGCTGCTTGCGGCCCTGAAACCTGGTGCCGGCAGCCGCAGGCAGCAGGAAGCGGGTGCTAAGGGGAAGCTGGGAAGAGAGAAGTGGCGGTGGCTCCCGGGGGCCGAGGGAACAGGGACACGCAGACGGGCCTTACCTGAGCAGGAGACAGAAGAGGAGGAGGAGGAAGGACAGTGGATGACAGTATGGGGGTCGGGGTGGTGGCGGCCCTCCTGCCTGGCCCACATGGCACCCCGGGCATCACTCCGCACCCACCCCAGCCGCTGGCCCCGTGGCTTCCTCTTCCCCCATGCGCCACTGGGTAACATTCTTGGCCGGTGATTCGAGCCTTGCCGTGGCTATTAATAACGCCTCTGGTGGGAGGGTCGCTTTAGGAAAGGCTCCGGGCTAACAGGCAGGGTGGGGAGGGAGCCTGCTGGCCGCCCGGCTGGCCTGGGGATAGGGAGGGTGACCAGGAAGAGTTCCCAGCCAGCCAGCATGTCCAGCCTGTCCGTTCTCCAGGCCACTCCAAGTTCGGAATGGCTCCTCAGCCCATCGTCCCCTCCCTCGTCGGGGGGTAGGGCTTCCCCAAAAGTTTGGCGCTGAATCAAGTATATGCAGTGGTGGGGTTAATTAAACCCGCTTCACAGACGAGGAACCTGGCAGTCCAAGAGGGGAAGAAGTGGGCAAGGTCACACAGCCAGGAGGCCGTGGAACCAGGATCAGATCCAGATCAGCAAGATGCTGTCCCAGCACCAAACACCTCCTTTTTGTGGCTGCCACCGGGAATAACACCTGCCACACAGCGGTCAGGAGCTGTGCTGGGCTCTTTCCATGTACTACTACTCGGTCATCCTCACCAAAGCCCCCTGAGACAGATGCCAGATTAGCCCCATTGTACAGATGAGGAAACTGAGGCACAGAGAGGGGAAAATACATAGATTTCAAGAGGGTGCAGAGCCTCAAAGTCCTCCCTGGCTTGAATGCCTGTGCTAACGGGGCCCTGATCTCTCACCCCTGCCCTCACTCCAGCCAGAGGAAGCCTCTTCCATCCCCTCCACGCCTGTGTGTCCCCAGGCGAGACACTGAACCACTCTGTGCCTGTTCCCCCATCTCCAAATGGGAACAAGACAGTCCTCTGTCCCTGTCTGGTGTTTATAAGTATTAAATGAGAAACTGTAAAGCTCTTCAGAGAGTGCCTGGCACACAACAGACACTCCATAAACGATGACCATCGTGAAAATCACTTCTTGAACGTCTCATACCTTCCCACCTCCGGACCGTTGACATGCTGGCTCCTCTGCCCAGAGCACCCACTCCCTGCCCCGTTCCCTGGCCTGATGGACCTGGGTCCCCTTCTCCTTCTGCTCTCAGCCCTTCCCTGACCTTTCATTCGCGCATTCCACGCTCACTTCCCCCACGCTCCCACCGTGGCAGCCCACCATGCGGCTGGTCATTTCCTGTTTGCATGCCTGTCTCTGTACTGTCCCACGTGCTCCTGCAGGCAATACTGCCTGACTCATCTTGGTGTCCCTGCACCCAGCACGGGGCATGGCACTTAGTAGGTTCTCAATAAATGTCGGCTGGTGGAGAAACAGGTGCATGGATAAAGAAGGGAATGAACAGGCGCGTTCAAAGATGAGGTCAGGTGAGCATGGGAGGCAAGAGGCCAAGGAGGCCACGACAGAGACCAGGGCAGGGATGCTGAAGGGAGAGGCCCACATTTCCCGGAAGAGATGGGGTCCACCTGCCACAGGCCGGGACACAAGCTGGCACACTTGGGGATCAGTCCCCAAACCCCACCGCCAGAGGAGCCCGGACACGCAGTGACCTCGCCCACCCACCCCTGCCGAGACTGAGCCCGCCCCTGGCCCGGCCCGCAGCTCCTCACCGAGGACGTCCTTCCTGTGCAGAAAGGACACTTTGCGCATGACTGCGATCCTCGTCTTCTCCAGCCCGTCCTTGGTCCCGCTCTTGGCGGCCTTCATGAGCTGGGTCATCTGAGCAAAGGCAGGGGGGCTCATCAGAGAAGCGGAAGGAGGCCTTGCGACATCTGCCACCAAGGGCCACCGGCCCTATCCAGGCCTCCCGGCCGGGGCTACAAACATGAGGACCCCGGAGCCCACTGCCTCCCAGGGAGGTGGCAGCAGAGGCCAAGAAAGACAGCAGGGCAGTGCCACCCCGAGACCTCCTGGGAAGGGCTGGAAGGGCATTCATGCCCTGGGGGACCTTCCAGGGGGAACCCTCTTTACTAACCCAATTTTTTCCCCTTGGGTGTCAAATTAAGGACATGGTGTGACACTGGGGAAAAGTCTGGAGGCCTGGAGTCCTAGGCCTGGTTCAGATCCCAGCCCTACCGCTCCTCACCCGCGTGACTCTGGACAAGACCCTTAACCTCACTGAGCCTCAGTTTCCTCCCTGAGACCCGCCAGAGCCTGTGAGGACTAAACAGGGTCTGGGAAAGCACGCTGGACAGTAAAAGGAGCTGCACAGATGCCCAAGCTTACTTTAGGAGCAAGTATAAAAGGAGGGGAGCAACCCCATCCCATCAGTGGAACCCCGGCCCCACCAAATAGCCGGGTTTCTTACTAAGCCTCTGCCCAGGAACAAGGGGGAGGCTGCTGCCTCCACGGAGCCGGGCGCAGCTTCCCTCAGGTGGGGAGGACCCGTGGGCACAGGCGCAGCGAGCGAAGCAGACACAGGGCGCGGGCGGAGGCAGGCCCAGGACGGGGAAGCGGCACCTTGGGCCTGCAAACAGAGCTGCCGTCCCCTAACTCACTGCTTTGTCCCCTCAGCCCCTGGCCCAGTCCTGGAAGCTTCCCTGACGTACAGCCAGTGCTAGAAGTTTCCACATGGTTGGAAATGTTCCCTGTCTGCGCTGTCCAACGTAGCAACGGCCAGCCACACGTCGCCACTGGGCACCTGAGAGCTGGCGGGTGTGACTGAGCACCCCGAGTCCTGGTGATCTTTAATTTTAATTAACTTAGATGTAAAGAGCTGGGTGGCTATCATAATGGACGGTACAGTTCTAGGAAAGCCCCTTCTCCCTGAAGCTCTCTGCTAAAGGTGGGAAGCACTCATCTGGGGGTCCCTGGTCTCTGCTCTCTCTATCACCTTCCTCCAAACACCCGCCCTGGTCCCCAGCATAAGGGCCCGGGCACTTCTCAAGGGTCTGGGTCAGGAAGGTTTGCCGAACACTGAGTGGGCGCTGAGGCTGGGGGCAGGGTGGTAACTTTTCAGGAACAAGATGACTTTCTGGAAACAGCCAACAGCCAGCAGGGGAAAGGGAAGTCCCGGGCCCCTCCCTGCCTCTCAATGGTATGATTCTAGAGCAGCAGTTCTTGGCCTTTTGGAGAGGTGGGTGGGGCTGTCATAAACACCTGTGAGAATCTAATGAGAGGGACATTCGACCCCAGACCCCGGAAACCGTACGAAGATGCTCACCCTCCTCTGAGGGGGTCATAACCCCCACAGTGGAAACCTCTGTCCTGGAGCCCAGTTCCTGTCTCAGCAGAAAGCCGTCAGGGGGGTTGTCCTAGGAACCCCCAAAGTGGTCTTTGGGGGAACCATCAGAGACCCTTCCTGGGCCAAAAAAGAGCAACAGGTGAGCACCTGGAAGGCGTCCCTGGGTCAACCTGCCACCTCCACTGGCTCACAGCACTGAGGACAGAGCCCGATCTGGGGGCCGACTCAGGGGCCGGGCTGGGGAAAGCACCCTGGTCTCGACGCCGCCCTCCACGTGCTCCCTGCTCCTCCCTGGGCCGCAGCTTCCTAAGAAGTTAAATCTGCCCCCACCTCCAGTCACAGGGCTCTCAGAGGGTGTCCGTATAAGGGTCTTGCAAACTGTAAAGGGTCTCTCCGCCTCCTCCAGAGAGGCCTCCGGTTCTGAGGAAATGGGCAGGGCTACAGGATAGAGGGCGGGCAGGCTCTGGCTTGCACAGACCGAGGCTTGAACCCCAGTTCTGCCGCTGGCCGCTGGTGTGGCCACCAGCCAGTTGCCTCACTTGCTGGCCTTACTAACGCTGAATGACAGCAGTAAGACAGCGGCCTGCTAGGGCGTCTCAGGGAGAAAACGGTCAGGCACACAGGTAGTAATGGTCACCATCCACTGAACTCTTAGGCTGTGCCCGGCGCGGCCCTAAGCACCTGACGGTTCTGAGCTCACATCCACCCTGGGGGCTGGTACTGTTCATGCTGCCATTTCACAGGCAAGGAAACTGAAGCTCAGAGAGGTCAAGAGGCCTGCCCAGGATCACACAGCGAGGAGGTGGTGGGGCTGGCATTCAAATCCAGGCCTGCAGGCCTCCAAAGCCCACAGCACACAGTAGGTGCTCAATGAATGGAAACTACTGCTGTCCATATCATCATCCTTATGCAGAGGTCGGAGTCCCATCTGAGAAGAAGGCACTGCGGTTTCTCCTACTGGCCTCCTTACCCCGGACCTCTCTGAACAGCTCCAAGGCAGAGGAACGTCCAATGTCACCAACAAAGTGTAACCCAAACCCGCCTGCCATAGTTACCAAATTCATAGATTCCTAGGCCTCGGCCCAGACCTGTAGAATCAGCTTCTCTGGGGGTGGAGCTCAGAAATCTGCATTTTTCAAAGCACTCGGGTGATTCTGAGGGCCCTAAAATTTGAGAGCCCACACAGGAATTCTTATCGACGGTTAAGGTGTCAGTTGATGGTGGGAAGAAAGAGAGGCGAGGACATGGACAGGAGCGAGCCAGCCTTTGGCATCAGCCCACGAAGCCAACGAAAGATGCCACCAAGTTCCAGGGCTCGAGGCAGCTCCGGGACTCAGCCCCGCCCCTGCGGCCCCAGAAGCAGCAGGAAAGGCCCCGGGAGCCCCCAGGACTTGGAGGGACAGACAGACAATACCTTATAATCGTACTTGTGCTTCAGCTCCTGCATGTCTCTCCCCCCAACTCTTAAAGCCAAGATGTCTCTCTTAGTCCTGGCGCATCGCTCCTTTAGCCTAGTCAGGTCTGGAGAAAGCTGGAGCCCCCAAGCAGCCAGGCAGAAGGACAGCAGGTGAGAGAAGCAGGCGGGGAGGGCAGGAGACAAAACACCGGCAACAGAGTAAAAAGGAGACTCAGGTGAGGTGGTGGATAGACAACCCGGGGCGGGTGGGATTGGGCACCTGGGGACCACCAGGCCCCTGCCTGGAATGAGCTCCAGCAGCATCCAACCCCAATATGCCAGGCAGTTGGGGGCTGGGTCTCTGCAGCTGTGGGGGAGCAGAGGTGGGAGGGGAACAGCCCAGGCCCCCTCCCAGTGCTCAGAGGACAAGGACTGTGTCTCGGTCATCTCCCCATCCCAGGAGCCCAGCATGCGGCTCTCGACATAAGAGGCTCTTGGCAAGTTTCCGAGATGGATGAATGGCAGGTGGACGGATGGGTGGAATGGGTGGGCAAGGGGATAAATGGATGAGTGGGCAAATGCAATGCAGAAAGGTGGGTGAATGCAGAGAGGGGTGGATGGTTGGATGGACAATAGACGGATGGGTAGATGGACAGGCTCATAGATGGATGGATAGACAGATAAGTGGATGGATGGGTGAGCAAATGGATACATTTAGTTGGATGACTGTACAGATGGCAAATGGGTAGAGGGATGAAGAGACAGTCAGATGAATTAATAAAAACATGGATGGTTGGAAGCAGTGCTGTGCTGGTAAATATTCAACGAGTGGTTCTCCAGGAAAAAGAGCCCTGCCTTGTAGTATTTCCACGGCGTGGACACGCCCACCACAGCCAATTTCAGACTACCAATGTGACATCACTGAGTGTGAAGTTGTAAAGGGATGTGCACAATTGGTTCTTGGGTTCTTGTGAGCTAGTTTGAGCTGGCTCGAGCACACCACTGGAGGAACAGAGGGAGGGAGGGATGATGGGTGGGCAACGGGATGGAGGGGTAGGTGGCTGGCTTACATACTATCTGGGAAGACGGACAGATAAATGGACACACAGACAGACATTCAAATGCATGAACTGTAGGAGCAATTGTGACATTTGGTAAAATATAGAGAAGACCATGACTGGGATTACTTGTAGAAAAGTAGACAAGCAGAGGAATCAAAAGCACGAGCTTAGAGGCAGGTGGGCCTACATTCAAAGCACTGCTCCCCGCGTACTAGCTGGAAAAGTCTCCTTCCCTCTCTGAGTGACAGCTTCCTCACTGGTAAAGTAGCCATAATAATAACTACCTCATAGTATCACTGAGAAGGTGAAATGGACAAAGCATGTAAACCCCAGAGCTCAGTGAGTGTTCAAAAAAATGGAAGCTTTTTTAGATATTAGACTATCTTTCAAATAATAAACGCTCAATATTTGTTGAATGGATGGACAGTTGACTGGATGGATGGATGGATGGACGGATGGAGGGATGAACGGATGGACAAGGTACTTCCTTTCCAATCCTATGTGATGTTGAGCTACGGTTCTACCACCTACTTGCTGTGTGGCCCTCACCACATCATTTAACCTCTCTGAGCTTCTGTCACTTAGGCTCTCTGATCAACAAAATGAGACTCTTAAAGCAAGTAATACCAACCACTCTAGGGTATTAGGAACAACAGATGAAACTGCTCTGCCAGCTGTGCCACACTGGGCAAATGCTTACTATCGTTATACAAAGAAGTAGCAGGACGGCATCCTTCTGAGAGCTACTCAGACTCCCCAGAAAACTGGAGTCCTGTTTCATCTATAAACAGGACTGACATGATAAATCATAAAGGACCTGGGCCTCTGCCTCTCTCAGGGTCCGAAGAACTAGATTCGAAGGTGAACTGCAGAATTAGCCAGATCAGAGTCAACCAGCTGAGGTCAGAGCTGGCATTGCTGCCCAGGCCCCTGGCCAACTGGATCACGGTCACCTTCATTATGAAGAGATCACAATCAGAAAGTGGACAGGTTCAGTGGAGCCCGTTTCACAGCTGGGAAAAAAAAGTAAAAACCTCCCACTGACCATGGGGGGCAACCAGCAGGCCCTCATTAATCAGGATCAGGCTCCCGGTCACATCTGGGTCAAGGGCTCCTAAGGAGGTCCCTCTGCAGAGCCTCGGTCATTTTCTTTGGCAAAAATCAGCCCACTGAGGGCTGGCTTGGCCAGACACCTACAGGAGGGGCTCCACTAGTTCTTTTGCAGCTGCACAGGGTACCAGGCTCCTGTTAGACTCTAAGGACAGGACCCCACTCTGCCCAGATCTCTGCTGCCTGACGCGCCACAGCACAAACTACATACAGGCAAGCAGCGGCGGCACCGGAAACATGCAGCGGCTGCAGCACGACGCATAGGAGCAGATGCGCCCCAAGCAGCTCAGGAGGGCAAAGCCCTGCAGGTGGGGCTGTGGTGGGGCAGTTCCCAGGCAGAGGTGGGTGTCAGAAGAAATACCCCCCTACAATCCCTGGAAGCCTGCTGTTCAGGGAACAGGCGGGCCTGGGCCCATGGCCGGAGAAAAGTCCTCATGGTCAGAAATTCCAAGAACTCTGCACGTCGTCTGTCTGCTGAGGAAGAGTCCCAAGCCCCCAGCTTGAGGGTGTGCGGGACACAAGCCCAGGGGCAGCCCCCAGAGACCCCCACCCCTGGGGCCAGGCCAAGGTGAGGGCCCGCCCAGCATTTCTCAGAGTGCTCTGTGGGGCCCTTGCATCCCTGGAGGACAGAGCGCTGTTAAAAAGCAGATTGCCAGGCCCCACCCAAACCCCGAACCTGGGAGCGAGGCCACGACATCTGCGATTTCAACCAACTACCCACATGATCCTGATGCCTGTGCAAGTCTGAGGACCACCATGGGAGAGCCCAAACTCAGCATCCCCACGCGTCCTGCCCTGAGAGGTGCTGACAGTTCCCTCTTGGTCCCCAGCAAGAAGGCACGGGGCTGGGGAAGTGGCCGTGGGAGATTAGGTGGGACAGTCAGAGGCTGAGAACAAGGGCTGGCCCAGGCCTGGAGTCCCACCTGCTCACACCCTCCAGAGGAGGGCTGGGACACATGAGTCCCGCCCCCGCTACGCAGAGGCTACCCAGGGCGTGTGGCGCCTTCATAACCAAAGCCCCCTCTCTCCCCTAAACTAGAGCATGCTGCCCCTTCTAAGGACAGCAGCAGGAAGAGGCCTGTTCCTGGGCTTTTGCCTGGGTCATTCCTCCAACTGGGGGAGGAATCTTTCCCATCTCCTCTGGCTTCTGCACCCCAGCTCCCAACCCGCCTCTCTTTGAAGGAAGCCTCCTGTGATTAGGCCCATCAAATCCCACCTGTGTCGGGCAGGCGGCCATACGTACACGGGCTTGTGTTCACAGAAAGGCATGTTTTCTTCATTTCTGACAAAGCGTTTCACATTCGGTGTCTCCTCCTAGACCACAAAGGTTCCCCAAGCCTGGGCTGGGTCTTCCAGTCTCCCTATACCCCAACTCACACCCTAACATGTGGACTGGGCACAGAGTAGGTGTCAGAGATGCTTAACTTTTTTTGCTAGCAGGAGGTCAAGGCTGTTTTCCGTGGCGCCGCCCATGGGGGCCCAGCCGAGAGGAGAGCAGGGGTTCAGGAGAGACCTGCTCAGCCCCCAGGCTTCCTTCATCTGAGTAAAGTCTGTCTGAAGACTCTTAGGCGTAGGCGCTGCTCTGGCCCGTGCCCCTCTCCCAGAAGGGATCCCCAAACTCAGAAAGGGGCAGGAGGCACTCAGAAAAACTTGGGAGTTGGAGGCCCCTGTAATCCAGCCTGGGCCTGGGGCCCCTGCCTGGTCCCTGCCCCGCCTGCAGGCAGGACTCGCTGACAGGTTGAGCCCACTTGCCTGCCTGTGTCTTTTCAAAAGGACCCTTACAGAGACCCAGTCACCTCTGGTCGGGCAGGGCCTGTCTCTAAGAGGCTGCTCCCATTCAATCCCAAATCTCGGCATGGATAGAACCTGCCTTCTGGTGGCTTCTAGAGAACACATGGGACAGGCAAGGCTGTCACAGCAAAGGAGGAACCAAACAATCCATCCTCCTCTTGGCTTCCGTGGCTCCTTCCATGAAATCAGCAGAATGAACTCTGTTCCAGGCAGAAACACTGGAAGCAATCAACGCATGGATGGCCCCTTGAAAGGCTCTGGAAAGAAGCCTCCCGGGCGCCTCTGACTTAGCCCGCTTGCTCACCTCCCCAGAGCAGAGGGTTGTGGGGGTCTCAGATCGATCTGAGAAGCATGCTGTGAGGCAGGGAGATCAAGCTGACTTGATCCATGTGTCCACTGTAATCACTTAGTTAGGCCGCCCAAGCACTGTGTTCAGGAGGATTCTGAAGCCAGATCTGAGCCCGTGAGCATCGTCATCAATTGCCGGGTCTGCCACAGGCCTGGAGCAGGGGCAACACCTGTGCCAGGCACTAACCACGCCCATCCTAGGTTTAGGGCTCTCCACGGCCAATCAGCAATGCGGGTGGGTCACTTCCTGTCTCGGGATTACATGGGCCACTTCTCCCTCTCTCACCATATATCCCTGGGAATCACTGAGGTTTAGGTACGAGTCTCAGGCCTGGCCCTCACCACCCCACTCGCAGGTGCCTTGGCTGGGGTGAGAGACGCCATCCCCCTCACCTTGGGCTGGAAGGACACTCGGTGCTTGGCGGGTTCCGCCTCCGGCTTGGCCTCCTCCCCGGAGTCCTCGCTGTAGCTCTCAAACTCACTGGAGCTCCAGCCTAGGTCCTCCGTCTCCCGGGGTGCCCCGTCCCGGCGCACATCCTCGTAGAGCAGCTTCCTCTCTGCCCCTGCTGGCCAAGAGACAGGGCTGGTGAGCTGAGGCCCTGAGGCCAAGCCCACCAGCCCCAATTTCTGAACCCAGGCGGGCAGGCGGGGGCGTGTGTCAAGGTGGACCTTCAGCTCCACGTCCTGGTCCATAAGCAGGAGGCAGTGAGAAGACGACATCCACCCCGCGGAGTGAGGAGGACGTGAAAAATGCAGAGAAGCACAAGAAATGTGCCTGGCACACAACCTGCTCAACAACTTCCCCTATCCACATCACCTTGCTAGGATCGGAATGCTCATTTGGGGCTTCTGTGGCTTTTTCTTTTTTTTTTTTTTTTGCAGTACACGGGCCTCTCACTGTTGTGGCCTCTCCTGTTGCGGAGCACAGGCCTCCGGACGCGCAGGCTCAGCGGCCGTGGCTCACGGGCCCAGCAGCTCCGCGGCATGTGGGATCTTCCCGGACCGGGGCACGAACCCGTGTCCCCTGCATCGGCAGGCGGACTCTCAACCACTGCGCCACCGGGGAAGCCCTTCTGTGGCATTTTTTAGAGGAAAAGAGAAGCTCTAAGACCAAGCCCTGACTCAGGCCCTCAGCTCTGGCCTCAGCATGCTAGGGGGGAAAATGAAGATGGTCCGGGGCATTGAATGACTCAGATCCCTCACCCCAAATCTGAGTTCCCCGTGAGGGTCCAGGATGGTCCAGTAGGGGGCGCGCCTGGCCCAGCGTCCAGGAATGTTCCCTTTTCTTCCCCGGCCCCACAGGAAATGCCTTGAACGGGAAACTGGGGGACAGAGACCTGACAGTCCACTGGCCTGGAGGGACAGGTGCCACCAGGGCCGGGCACTCTTGGGGGTCCCTGTCAACTCGGGTTTGAGATGCTGTTTCTAGACTGAGGTGGGAAAGCCAGTTTCCCGGGCCAAGAACACAGGGTCCCAGCCCTGGCCCCAGCTCTACCTCTGGGAGCTCTCGGCCTCACCTTCACCTCTGAGCTTCACTTCCTGGGCTGTTACCTGGAGAATAACTGAACTGCAGGCCTCACAAAAGTAAGGGCAGACTCCAAAAAAGTGCACGAAGGTGAAAATGCTTTTCGTTAACACAGACAAAATATGGCACTGAGAAGCGTTTAAAAAAAAAAAATCTGCTCAGAAACCACGCATTCTAAAGAGCAGAGAACTTTGGTTATTGGAGCCCTCTCTACAAAATGAGGATAATAAGCTGAAAGGTGGAGTAAATATAATATTTGCACAGAAAGCTCTTAGCCAAGAGCCTGGCACATGGCAGGCGCTCACCAAAGAGCAGCTGATCCTTACTCGCGGGGGCTCTGGGTGGGCTTGAAGGTCTCCACACTGACCCCAAGCCTCCACCTCCCCCGCACGGGAAAGCCGGGCGGGTGAGGGGTCGGGGAAGATTTTCAGCCAAAGAGCAAAACAGACACACTGGGGCTTAGCTGGAGACTCAGGTCCCAGGATCAGGAGGAAGCATGGGGTTATTTTTCAGCAAAAGATGATAGTGACTAACACCTGCAGGGAGTAGAGCAGCTGGTGACCAGGCTGTGACCTTCACAAGGCTGGGCTGACTGTCCTATTACTGCAGTGGAGGCCCCACAACCCGTGCGTGAGTCAAGGGGCAGAGCCCAGTTCTTGGGGCTGCCCCAGGGGAAGAACCACGTGACATCTACTTCCCCTAACTTCTGGCCCCGCCTACCTAATCTACATGCCAGATTCTCCCAGCAGCCCTGTGGGGCCGGAAACTATCACCGCCTCCCATCAGACAGATGAGAAAATGGGGCCCAGAGAAGACGTGTGCTTGCCCGAAGTCAGGCAGTGAGCGGGGAGGGGGCTCCATCCACTCACCGTGCTGCCTTCCACAGAGGCACCACCGTGCTGACGACCCCCTGGGCTCGTCCAGAAATACTCTCTCCAGTGGAGACAGCATCACCAGATTCCTAAGTCTTCAGAGGCCTAACAGTGGCCTGGTCCCCACTGCCCCCCCTCCCCCCGTCTCCTGGGGCCACGGGCTTCACTAATGCTCAGGAACATGGCTCCCCTTTCGAAGCACTTACCACCACCCACTCAGTGCTCTACATCAACTATCTCACGGCATCCTCCCCACAACCCAAGGAGGAAGCGAGCATTGCCCAGTTTTACAGATGCATCGACTGAGGCCAGAGAGATTTAACCAGAAGTTTTGCAGCGTGACCCTCCCCAAAGTCCTGTGAGGTCAGGACGATATTCTGATTTCATACGAAGAAGCCAAGGCCCAGAGCACAGAGCGCTGTGCCCTAATTAATGGCAGAGCCGGGATGAAAGCCCGAGGCTGTGTGGGTCCACTGGCCTGTGCGGCCTGCACCTCAGTGGACAACCTCCACACTGAGCGCCGGCTGAGCCCACAGGCCGTGTGGGTCAGTGCGGGGCCCTGGCAGGTGTGATGTTCACAGCGCTCCTTGTGGGGTGCACCTGCTGAGGGCTGGGCCCAGCCTCGCCGACTCAACCCTCCCACAGCCCCGAGAGAGAGTGGGGGGTCTCAGGGCAGGAGTCCTGGTCCTCAGTCGGCAGGCTCAACTGGCTCCCAGACCACCTGCTCTTGCCCACCTCAGGGTAAACCACAGGACATGCCATATCTCCACACCCTGGGGACTCGAGGGTGCCCAGTGAAGACTGTGACCAAGTGATTAGTGGCTTCATTGGATTCAGGAGGGAGAACAGCCCAAAGCGGTCAAATAATGGCCTCAGGCCACTCCGATCTCCTGGCTCTGGGACCTTCATCCAGCCACCCTTTCCCACTCTCCCGGATTCACATGAGCTACAAGCAGGAATGGGTTCCAGGCTCCTCCAGGGCTTGTTAGATGGATGGGTGGATCACGGGCCCACCCGCCCTGCTCCTGGGACAGGTGTCAGGAGTGTGCCCCTGGGGAAACGTCGGGCCTCATCATGTTGTCTGTATGTCTCTCCCGTTGGACTATATGCTGCCCCAGGATGGTTACGGTCGCCCCTGTCAGACCAGGAGCTCCACAAATGCAGGGGCTGTTTCCCCCACTAGACGGGGAGCCCCTGAAGACAGGCAGAAGAACAGTGTTGTAGAAAAAGCAGAGTCCAGCAGATGTCTATTCAAATTCTGGCTGTGTGATCTGGGACTGGTGGCTTAACCTCTCTGATGTGACTGTCAACTGGAGCCATAGGCCCTGCCCTACCAACCTCACAGGGTTGACTGAATAGGGGAAGCAAATGCGTTTCATCTTTCATAAAATGCCACCCAAGTCCTTTTGGGGGGGGGGGAGCAGAGCACTGGACTTGGAGTCAGAATGACCCAGGTTCGAATCCCAGCTCTGCCTCTACAGTTTCCTCCTCTGAAGAATAAGGAAGTAATACCCTAAGTCAAAGTTTCAAAGCATTTACCGGAGATAAACCATGAAGAGCAGCTGGCAAAACGTGTTTAAGCAAAGACGGCTCTTACTGTGAACGGATATTAAATATCCCTCGTCCCTGGGTAGTCCTCCTTCCAGCTAGGTGAGTATGTGGGCCCAGTTCCAGCAGCACTCACCCTCCTCCACCCTGTTTCTCCTCTGCGGCCCCAATCTCCCCAGCAGGGCCCAGGCTTTCCCAGGCTTTCTCTGCTTCACCATTCAGCAAGTCTGGACTATTAACCCATTTTCAGGAGGAATGGAGGCTTGGAAAAGTGAGTGATTTGCCTGGGGACCCACAGCCCAGCATGTGTCTGCCCCTGAAGCCCTAATCCCTGCGCTTGAAGCGTTAACCCCTCCCCATGGAGCCCTAACCCCTCCCCATGGAGCCCTAACCCCGCCCCATGAAGCCCTAACCCCGCCCTAGCCCCAGCCTGGCCACGCCCTCAGCCATCTCCTGACTCTCCCGGGAAGACGGCCGTGGTTTTTGAAAGCAAGAAGGAGGGGCCATGGACTGGGTGGGGGCCGGGGAGGAAGTGGAAGGACAGACCTTCCCCAGGCCCCGCCCTCCCGCCGCCCCTCCCACCCCTCCTCTGTCCGGAGAGAAGCGGGACGCCTGAAAGAGGCTTTACCGGGTTGATGGGCGTCCAGGTTCTCGCAGGGGACGTCGTCGTAAATCACATCTTCTTCCAGGGCGGGGAAAGTAAACCGGTCGACTGGGAGAGAAGGGAGAGGAAAAGAGCACGAAGGAGGCTGTGGTGGCCCAGGGCGGCTGCCAGACTGACAGCAGGACTGCACCAGTTGGCAGCTTCGCCCGCCCGCCCGCCCGCACCCCCACGGCTCATCTGGGCCAGCATCCTGCAGCCCAGCCCCTGGGGAGCCCTAGCCTGCCACTGCTCTAAGAGGACGCAGCTTCCGCTGCCTCTTCCCGCTCCCCAGCCCCTCCAAGGCGCCCTCCCACTGACTGCGGCACATTCCCCCTGCCGCCCCGACACCTGCAGGCCTGCCCCTCTGACTGATGGCACCTGCAGGGAGCATGAAGCAAACCCAGCACCTGTGCCCCAGGGCCCGGAAGCCTCTTCAGCCGCCCAGGCCCCCAGGACTACCCCAAAAGGAGTCACCCCCCCCACCCAGAGGCGGGGGGAGGGCAAGGCAGCCATATCTAATGAGCACAGGACACGGCAGGGAGTGGGGGAATGGATTTGGAGAGTGGGGTTAAGGAGAGTCCCCCAAAACTCAGCCAGCGGGGCCCTGATTGGTAAAAAATTCTGCAAATGAGCACATCACTCCCCTAACATTTTGCTGGGTGTGCTATGAGCGGGGCAGAGAGCACATCCTGCCCATGTTAGCAGCTCCTGAGCTGGAATATTTAAAGAGGTCTCCCCCCCATAACTGTGTGCCCAATCTCTGCCCTCTCTAGGGGCATGTGGCCCCCGCAGAGCGAAGGTTTGGGAAACCAGTCCCCACCCCTGATGGTAGCCTGTCCTCACCCCACAGGCCTTCCAGGAAGACAGAGGACCAGATGGACTCTGAAGTCCCTGTTCCTAACTGCGTTGCTCCCTGCGGTCCCAGGGCCCCCAGAGCCCTATAGGAGCCTCACCGCCCCCTCCCCACCGACACAGATTCTGCCTCCCACATGGCTCAGACCTGCCCACCTCTCTCCAGGTCCCTGGCTCCAGCCATCAGCCTCCCTCCCCTGGACAGCCTCCAGCCCACCACCTTGTCTCGGAGCATCAGTGATGGGACTGAAGTGCAGACGTGGTCTCATGGCTTCGCCTTGGCCTCTTATGGCTCACTGTCACTTTTGGGAAAGCACGGCCTCCGGGGGCACCCCACACACACTCTGGGAGGAACTGGGGAGATGGCAGCCTCACCTGGCCCTGCTCACCCCTTAGACCCGCCCCTCCACCACACCACAGCTCACTGCTTCCGAGGTGCCAGGCATCCCCTCGCCCTTGGGCTCCAGCACAGGTTGCCCTCTCAGCCTAGACACTCGTGCCCGGAGCCCTGCTGTTTCACTCTCTACCTCAGGACTCGTGGGCCTCCCAACCCCACCTCCCCATCCTAGCGCCTGCTCTCTGCATGGTAACCGCCCGCCTACGTTGTCTGGTTCTGCTGCCAGAAGGGCCTCGTCTTGGTCACCAGTGTACACCCACCACCCAGATCACCCTGGCCCGCTGTAGGAGCTTTGGAAGTATTGGGGGGACAGATGAGCAGCTGAATGTGTGATCTACTCCTGGATCACGACTCACATCAGGTGGCAAAGGGGGGCAACTCTCAAGGGTGGGCAGTGGCCAGTCCACCTCAGAGCTGCCACCAAGCCCACAGCAGCCATGCAGCAAGGGCAACCCCTCGGCCCGCATGAGCCCACATCAGCTCTCTCAGCCTAGAGAAGGGGAGGCTATCCTGACCCAAACTTCCTGGGGCTGAGACCTGGGGGGCGGGCGGTAGGGGGGGTGCGGTGGACTTACTGCGACGGGAGCTCTTCCGTCTCCAGCTGGAGTGCCGGACCCCAGAGAAAGCTGTGTCCACGGCATCCCCATTGCTCACCACGGCCGGCTCCCTGCGGGTGGAGAAGCAGGGCCAGTGAGTCAGGAGGATTGGGACAGCTGGTTCCTTGAAGCGTCAGACAGCCCCTCACCAGGTGACAGGGCCACTTGACCCCAAGGCCGAGCTGGGGAGGCCACAGCTGGGTTGGCCTTGGACAAGCCCCGTCCCCTCTTGGTTTCCTCACCTTTAGAAGGCACCGTAAGGCCGACCTGCTGCTTTACAAGAGCATAAAGGTCAAACGTATTCACGGTGATAAGTGATAAGGATCAGATGTTCTTCAGGCCAGGGCACCCTGTCTCTCCTCCTCCAGGGCAGACTCAGTGGGAATCTCCATCTCCCCAGTCTCCACATGCAAAATGGAGGAGAGGACTGGGGGGCCTTGCGTCTGAGAGACAAGGACCTGCAAAGCTTCACAAGACCATGCACAGAAGGCAGGGCTTAATTCCCACACACACTTGAGGATGGGCTGGACCAGAGACACGCTTCCCAGGAGCAGAGAAGCACAGGGAAAGCAGTGGAGAAACAGCAGACATCACCTTAACCAAGCGGTCAAGTGAGCAAAACCCAGTGCCGTCACTCGGGCATCATGTACTCCAAATACAACATGATGAGAAGGGTGCTCACCTCTGTGGGATTCTTACCCCAAGTCCATAACCCCAGGCTACTCATGAGAAAAACACCAAACAAACCCAGATCGGGGAACATGCTATAAAACACCTGCCCACTACTTCTCAATGATCATGAAAAACAAAACTGAGGAACTGTCACAGAGCAGAGCAGTGTAAATGACAACTGAATGCCACGTGGGTCCTGGATGGGATCCCGGGACAGAAAAGGAACATAAGCAGAAAAACTGATGAAATGCAGATAAACTCAGGAGTTCAGAGAATGGTAACGTACCAACACTGGTTTCTTAGTTTTGATAAATATCCCATGGTCGTGTAAGATGCTAACAATGGGGAGAACAGGATGAGGTGGTATATGGAACTCCATGTGCTACCTTTACAACGTCCCTGTAAATCTAAAACTATCCCAAAGTGAAAGGTTTTTGTTGTTTTTTTAAGCCCATGCTCAAAAAAAAAAACCACATCTGGCAACCCAGAGGGTAGACGCCTTCTACTGTCCAAGGCAGCTGCCACTGTTATGAAGAATTGCCTTGAACTTGCCAGCACGCAAGCCCTTAACAGAGGAGGAGAGGGAGGGGGAGGGGAAGGGGGAGATGACAACCGGAAGTGCAGGGAGAGGGGAGGGAGGAGAGTGAAGTGTGGAACACCTCCTGTGAGCAGGCCCTTGGCCTCGCCTTCCCAGTAGCACTGACAGGTAGATCCTGGCATCCTTCCCACTCCGGCAGGTGGCGGGCAGAGGAACCTGCTCAAGGTCACCGGCCTGTGAGTGGCAGAGCCGGACGGTGAAGCCAGCCTGCTGGGCCCCTAAGCTGGGCTCTCAGGATGCGTCTCAGGTAACAGAGCAAGGACGGCTGTGACGGTGGCAACATGCCACGTCTGTGCTGTCCAGTGAGCCACGCGTGGCTACGGGGCACTTGGAAGGTGGCTAATGGAACTCGTGTGGCTAAGGAACTTAACTTTTCATTTTAGGTCATTTAATTTTAAATAGCCACACGTGGCAAGCGACCCCCGAACTGGAAAATGCAGGCTGAAGCCACCAGCACTATTGGAGAAGCAAGACTCAGCTCCGGTTTTACTGCCGGAAGTCAGCAGTGTCGCCTGGCGGGGAGGGGCGCGTTTCAGTCCTGGGGTAACGCTTTCCATCAGCGGGAAGTTAAGGCCAAGAGGGGACAGGGCTGGTCTGGACCAGGAGGGGTGCTGGGCTGGAGCCACCTGAGCCCCAATCCCTAACAGTGCTTCCCTGAGTCATCACCTTCTCAACCTGGAGGCGGCTTCAAGGTGCTGAGTGCAGCCGCTCAGAAATGCTCAGACAGAACCGAATCATTCCAGCGGGAGCTGACGTGAGACTTCGGCAGAATTTGGTTTTAAAGTTTGCTTTGCTACGTTAACCGTGACAACTGGTGACTCCTGGAAGAACGCGCCAGGTGCCGCTTGCTGTACTTTACCTATATTTGCATACTTCACAACACAAGAGCCCACGTGAGGTAGGCAGTGCCGTCCTCATTCTAAGATGGGGAAACTAAGGCTCACGAAGTCTTGATGACCGACTCTACTGAAGTCACTCGGCTCGTCAGAGGGAGCTGGGATCTGCAGCCCAGGCTGTCCGCCTGCAGAGTCTGCTCCTTCCACCAGACCATGTGGAAGCAGGGAGCCCGCATTCAAACATTCACCGACATCGCAGACTCGCTGTGTCACGACATCACTGCACCTCGCTTGACTACTCTCCCAACCATGTTTTTAAAAAGGAAAGAGAGGGCTTCCCCGGTGGCGCAGTGGTTGACAGTCCGCCTGCCGATGCAGGGGACACGGGTTCGTGCCCCGGCCCGGGAAGATCCCACATGCCGCGGAGCGGCTGGGCCCGTGAGCCATGGCCGCTGAGCCTGCGCGTCCGGAGCCTGTGCTCCGCAACGGGAGAGGCCACAACAGTGAGAGGCCCGCGTACCACAAAAAAAAAAAACAAAGGAAAGAGAGAAAGAGCTCTTGGCATAGTCAGAGATGCATGATCGAGTCTCCGTCCAGGAGAAATCGTGACACCAGCTCCAAGGCTGAGGTGCGTTTCGACCAATGAACACCCCAGAAGGTCCCGGGTGACCTCTAAAGGGACATGGAGGCAGGATGGGCATTTGGGGGTAAGGTCAGACAGCTTTAGAAGGGATCTGTAACTGCTGTGACATGCTAAAAGCCAGGATGGGGCTGAAAATATGAGCCTCTGGTTTGCACGTTACCAAAACACAGTGAACTTATTTTTTCATTGTATTTCATTTTGAACAGCCACACGTGGCTAGTGGCCCCCGAACAGGACAGCGTGGGTCTAAGCCACCGGCACGACTAGAGAAGCTAGTCTGGGCTCGTGCTTCTGTTGAGCAGCCACCGAGCAGTCCTGGCTTCCTGGGCGGGGGAGCAGGGGTCACGCAGCAGAGCAGTCACCTTTATGCCCACCCTGAGTGCCTCAATGGCTGAGGCAAGCGGAGACACCAGGGGCCCCAAGGGAGGGAAGAGGCCGGTGTCCGTGCATGGACAGGTCTTCCCAGCCTTAGCTGGAGACCACCAGCACCCCTGCCCTGCACTTTGCTGGTATCTTCTCTGCGCCCAGCCCTAGGCAGAGTGCTTGAGGACAAGTGTGTGTCTCATTGCGACCATTTTACAGATGAGGAAAGTGAGGTTCAGAATTGGCAAGTACCTTGCCCCAAATCACCTGGCCAGCAAGTGGCAGAGTTGCACTTTGCCTGCAAAGCCTTGCTCTTGACACCAACTCTGCTGCCCTCAGACCGGAGCAGGTGTTCCCCAGGCAGACGGGAGGGGGAAGAGCCTCCCAGGCCAGGGAAGCAGTGGGCATGGCAAGAAATGAGACTGGGGCTGCCTCCTCCCTCCCTGGCCCTTCTAGCTGCCTGCCAAGGCCACTGACCCACCCTGAGCCCACCCAGGGGCAACCTCTCCCAGCTGCTGCCTGGCTAGAAAATCTAATTCGCCTTGTGAGCAAACACTCCTGGAGCCTCCCCAAAGGTTTCAGATAATAAAAGAGCCATAAAAAAGCAATAAGAGGCCAATTATCTCGCCCTTATCTGAGCTTCCTGCACTTCTAATGCCTCTCAGCTTGCACAGGCAAGAAAGGCCAGTCACTAAGATGACACCGTCTTACAAAGTGAGGCCACCGCCACTCGAATGCCAAGAAAAGGAGCCAAGTCCGTGGAGAGGAACAGAGAACAAGAAGCTGGGCAAAGAAGAGGAGGCCCCCCCATGACAGCGTTCACCGACCAGACCGAGGTCAAGTACACCAGGGGTCCACCACAGAGCTCAAGGCACATTCTGAGCCCACCTCCTCTCTCTCCAGGGACACGCCGGGGACAAGAGGGGAGTGAGTTTCCTGTGATAGCAGGGACCTGCTCTGGCCTGGTCACCCCATTCCGTCAGCCCCTTCACACGAGGACACTCAGTGATGATGGATGCCCCGGCCCCCCGGCCTCTTTTAAAGACAAGAAGCCCCACTCAGAATGGCGGGCCCGGTTGCTCAGCAGATTCCACAAGGTCCCTTCCCAGAGGCTACACAGTGTGAGTTATCAGAGAGAAGACCCCCAAAACCAGTATGGTCAGAGGATCCCTGGCTGGCTGGGTGTGTGTGTGTGTGTGTGTGTGTGTGTGTGTGTGTTCACGCGTGCGCACACACGGTATTCCGGATGCCTTTTCCAGGACAAGGTTTGAAAAATATGAAAGAGGAAAGAATTCCACCTTTGGGAATTGAAAGGACCAAAATAACATGAGCCTTATAAGGCCTTGAGTAAAACCCAGTCTGCAGCAGACCGAGGGCTGGGACAGCAGGGCTTGCCCAGGATGGCCCGACTCAAGAGCATCACTCCCCTCAAGAAATTCCCCAGCAGCACCACTACCACTATCCCTAAATCCAAGAGACACAAAAGAAAGGCAAAAACATCAAGCCCGGATTAAGCCTGCTGCCAGTTTTCTTTTCAGCCCTGGCCACTTTCTAGTTCATATAGCATGTTAAAGCCAGAAAGGGGGCAGGGGGGAGGGATAAAATGGGAGACTGGGATTGACATATACACACTACTATATATAAAATAGATACTTAATAAGGACCTACTGTAGAGCACAGGGAACTCTACTCAATACTCTGTAATGACCTATATGGGAAAAGCATCTTAAAGAGAGTAGATATATGTATATGTGTAACTGGTTCACTTTGCTGTACAACTGAAACTAACACAACATTATAAATCAACTGTACTCTAATAAGGATTTAAAAAAAAAAAAAGAAGGACTTCCCTGGCGGTCCAGTAGTTAAGACTCTGCGCTTCCACTGAGGGAGCACAGGTTCGATCCCTGGTCGGGGAAGTTCCACATGCCGCACGGTGCAGCCAAAAAAAAAAAAAAA